ACTGTGAGTGACGGGCACTTTAAGGGGCGCCTGTGTCGCATAGCTGATGATGGAAAGGCACCTGGCAGCAGCCTTGGTGACTAAGGCAGGCTGGCCACCATGGTGGGAACGAACAGGGACAAAGTCCTCACCTTCTTGCACTTCATTTTTCCATTTCTCTTAAAATAACTGGGACCAGGGTCCTCACCAAACAGGACATCTAGGAACACTAGAACCTAATACTGGGTCTGCAGGGCTATGCCACGATCAAGCCTCAGAAAGTTTTATCTGCAGACTCTGGCCATTTCTGGATTGTCCAGAGTAAATGATTTCAAACTGGCCTTTCTTTTCCTTGGTTTTGACATGAAGGGAAAGGGAGATGCTCTGAACTGAAGGAACAGGAGCCACTGCTGGGCACGAGACCTCTGTAGACCCACAGGCTATCCTTACTTTAATTCTGGTACAATGGCCACGTCTTCTGTGTTCTTGCCTGGCTCTTCTGTGCTGCATTAGGGACCCTGGCTGTGCTAGACATGCAGTGGGTGGGCCTTGGAACTGCCCCCGCACCAAGATGTAGAGTATTAACCTGGCTGCTGACTGACTCGAGACGCCCTATTTGTGAGACTGATGGCAGCCTTCACCCTGATTGTGATCAGCACTCACTGGTATTTACTGTGGAACTTGAAACACATTAGCTCAGGTAGAAACTGGGCAGGTGTCCACAGTCAGCATTAATGACCTCACACATCTGGGGACAGTCTGGGTGATGATGGATTGCCCTTTATCCCGTTTATTCCCAGAAGTGAGAGCGGAATGAGCACGAGCAAATCCCTTTTCCTCTCCGAGTGACCAGATTGTAGTTCTTGTCCATGGCTCCTCGGCCACATGCCCCAGATGTGGACAGACTGAAGGACTGTCCTTGCCCTATTTTTCAAGCTATGATGGTATCTTCTGCTGAGTGTGGTTGTTTTGTAAGAATGTAGTACTTTCTAGTTTTGTGGACATCCATTAATGGAGGATGTCCCAGCATTACCCAATGCCATCTAAGAAAGTGAGCGACCCGGGGAGATGTTTTCTGGCCGGTGACTTCTGAAGGAGAGACTGTCTACTCCAGGGAAACTTCTCATCTTCCATATTCAGTGTTTGAGCTGTAGTTTGGGGTACACAGTGGCAGTGTGGCCCCCAGAAGCTCAGAAGCCTCCCTGATCATACGTTTGTAACTTTGAAGTAAAACTAAACCCCAAGGTCTTGGCATTAGCTGTGGAACTTCTCTGGGGGAAGACCTGTCCCTTGTGTCCCACCATGGTCAGCTGCCTTTGGTGACCGGTGACTCCCTGGTCCTCAGGCCCCTGCATTTTCTGCGATGTTCGGAGGCTTCTGCGAGAGTTTTGTTTCTACCCACTCACATTCCAGTCACAGCCACCCCAGTGGAAGAAGAAATGGGATCCTTCAAGGGAGACCAACCCTGGCAGGAAAAGAATGTTGCTGAGACTCAGTCACCCACTGCCACCAGAGTCTTTCGTCGGCTTGGGCTTTATTTGTCTGCACTTAAGTTGTCTCTTCCAGGTTTTCTGCTTTTAACCACCGCTTCTTCCAAGTGGGCTAGAAGATGGGTGCAGATTAATGCAGAAGTTAGACACGTCTAGAACGATATTGCTAAGCATGGGGCCTGCTATAGATAGAGGCATGAAGTACAGTCAGGAGCAAGAGATCTCAGACTGCCTGGGTCCAACCCCGAGCCCTGATAAGTTACTATCTGCCTAAATTTCCCCATGGATAAAAAGATGTGGCAGTCAGTGGTGGCACACACCATAGTCCCAGCACTTGGGAGGAGGAGACTTCGACAGAGGCCAGCCTGGTCTACAGAGTGAGCTTCAGAACAACCAGGACCACGCAGACCCACTTCCCTTCAGGCTCCCCCCATTTTCCCCTAAAAAAGGCTGCATACAGTTCTGGGTCTGTGTGTTTAGTATTTGTAATGTGCTTAAAATGGAGCCTGGAACAATAATATTCTACATATACTTAAAATGTGGGTAAAATAGTTGACAAAGGGTAACTTAAACTATTAGTTCAGATTATAGGAAGGGTTGTTTTTAAGGGTCTTGATGTGCAAGCCAGGGTAGCCTCAGACTCTGCAGTAATGGAGCACCCCCAGTTAGAGACTATTGCTGAGCTGACAGAAGTGACTGCTGTGGCGGGCTTCGGGTAGAGGTGCTCAGGGGTCTCAGTTCCCCGGTGGACTATGCAGCAGGTAGCAGCCCCTAAAGGAAAGGTGTTGTGCTGGGTGAGATTGACTTCAGTCCCTCACTGGCTTTCTTTATTCAACACCTTCTCATGGAAAAGAACACACACCCAGTTCCATGTGCCGGTCTTGGTGTTCTCAGATCTCTGCATGGCTGAGCCGGGCTGGAAGGCAACTCGCAGAACCTTCCTGGAGCTGGAGAGTCCCTTCACTTTCCTGTAATTATGTCTCAGCCCAGAGCATCTGGTTTTACTGAAAGATAATGATCCTTAACCAGCCACCTGGAAATTCAGGCTGGGGCTCTCTGCCATGCTGTCACCTCTCCAGGAGCGAGGCCGAGCCACCATTAAGAAATGCCTTGAGCAGGTTACATGCCTTGCACCAAGTTATTTACAAAGCCATTTTCACTCTTCTTAGCCACCACCCTCGGCAAGTCCAGTCATGCTTCTGCTGATTTTGACTGCTAAGATTTGTCCTGGCTGTGTAAAGGAATGAGGCCAGTTCCCCATTCCCCGCCTGTGACAAGCCCCCAAAGACGACCCACTTGTGTTCTTGGGAAAATTTCTTTAAAAGCATCTTCGAAGGTTCCTAATTTGGACTTTAGAAATGGTATCTGGGAACTACTAGGGAGATGGTTCAGTCAGTAAAGTGCTTGTCTGATGAGGTGGGGGACCTGTAATCTCAGTATGGGGAGGTAGAAACACTACATGGAGTCCTGATCAGCCAGCCTGGCTGGCTTGCTGAGTTCCAGGCAATGAGAGATTCTTGTCTTACAAAACAAGGTGGACAATATCTGAAGAACTATGCCGAAGTTGATTGCGCTCTCTCTCTCTCTCTCTCTCTCTCTCTCTCTCTCTCTCTCTCTCTCTCTCTCTCCCCATACATGCTTATACGTCCCATAATAAAGAATAGCTGAAGTTCATATAGATCCTTCTGCAAAGATCCATTTGACTGATCCATTAGATCCATCTGATTACAAATCTGATTCCAAAGAAGCATATTTACCAGTGGAATTGATGGTGGTGTCGGTACCTGCCCTCACGATGGAAGCGTTCATGTCATTTTCTTGGCAAGTGCTGGACTTTTGATTTCAGACATGTTTACAAGGGCGACCCCTGGTGGAAGAAATGAACACTGCAAGGCAGGCGTCTTCCCCAGGCCCAAAGTGGAGAGTGTAGAGGTGTGTAAAGTAGACACAGGGAGAGGAATTTTCATAAGAGAATGCTTGGGAAAAAAATGGGAATTCCATTTTGAGTAGTGATGGACACTGTTTGAAAAGGAATTTTATTGTGAACCTTTTTTTTCAACCTTGGTTACTTTTCTCTGTGTGTACACATACGTGTCCCGTGGTATGCCTTTGGCGGTCTGAAGACAGCTCACAGAAGTCAGTTCTCTTATCATGTGACTAGCTCTTTCACTGTGGGGGGGTTTTAGCTATTAATCTCAGGTTGTCAGGTTTGGCTGTAAGCACCCATACCTGTGAGCCATTTTAGTGACCCTTGTTTTGGTTTGGTTTTGTTTTGTTGAGGCAGTCTGAAATTTGCTATTTAGTCAAGAAAGACTTGAAATAGAGTGGTATATGCCTATAATCCCAGCATTCAGGAGGGATTACCAGTGGGATTGATGGGGGGACACATAGTAAATCTCTGTCTTCAACAAAACAAAAAATAATTGTCCAGAGATCTTACTGCAGCCTCTGACCCTTGAATTCTTTAGGTGCCCATATCTAAGCTCTGTTTTTTTTTTATTTTATTTTAAGTTTTTATTTTGAGAGATGGTTTCACTGTGTAGCCCCGACTGTCCTGAAACTCACTCTGTAGACCAGTCTGGCCTTGAACCCACAAAGATCTGCTGATTATGTGCCACAACTGCCCAGCTTCTGTTTTCTTTTTAAGATTTACTTATTTTTATTATGTGTGTGTTTTTTTTACTCATTTATTTATTTATTTATTATGTATACAATATTCCATCTGTGTGTATGTCTGCAGGCCAGAAGAGCACATCAGATTTCATTATAGATGGTTGTGAGCCACCATGTGGTTGCCGGGAATTGAACTCAGGACCTTTGGAAGAGCAGGCAATGCTCTTAACCACTGAGCCATCTCTCCAGCCCCCTATGTGTGTGTTTTATATGCATGCAAGTGTAACGTGTTCATGTAGTGCCTGTAGAGACCTAAGAGGACATCAGATTTCCTGGAACTGGAGTTACTGGCTGTTGTGAGCCACTGTAATGCTCCTAGAACTGAACTTGGATCTTCTGGGAAAGTTTTGAGGCAGGGTCTCTTGTCTTTGCAGACTTGGCTGTGAGCTGGAGGCCAGCTGGCCCATGAGCTTTTGGGTGTTCTCCCATCTTGATATAGGAGTCCTGAGCTACATATGCAGACCGCTGTGTCCTGCTCTTTACATGGGTTCTGGGGGTCTAAACTCTGTCATCAGGCTGAGCTGCAAGTTCAGTCTAGCCTTATGGTCGGTTTTCATTTTGAGTTACCTATCTTGCTTTCATTTTGAAAATGATACTATTTTTACTGACTTAACTAGATGAGGAAAAACACTCAAACCAGACTCCAGAGATCACTTGCCCTGTGTGTAGGAAGATATTGATGATGATGAAGACGCCCCTGGGTACGGGTGTTCATCGTCAGCTTATGGTTTATTGAGCAAGTGCATGTTCTGTATGATTTGGTGGGGGGGGGGGTAAGGTTCACTTTTTGAAGAAGGAGTGTCCTTATCTGTGATCTAGTTGTCCAATATCCTAATTCCTGTGATCTCTGTCCTGCAGTGAGATTTGAAGGGTGCACTGGTCGGCCAAGGACAGCTTACTTTTCTGAGGACTCCAAATTCAAAGTGGCTCCTGACGGTGCCATCACGCTCAAGCGACCTCTAAACCTTCATAAACTGGAGACGAGTTTTCTTGTCCATGCCTGGGATTCTACTCACAAGAAGTTTACTGCCAAAGTGATACTGAAGTCTGTGAGGCACCACCAACACCGCCACCACCACCATGTAGGTTGCGCTATTTCTTGGATGTGTGTATATTTTTCAGATTGCTGTTGACCTGGGTCCTCTAACCTTGGTATTGGGATCTTGTGAGGCAAGATAATTTTGTGGGAAGACCCTATGGGGTGCTAAGTGGCCTCCTTGGCTCCAGGAACACCTGTCAGTTACCACAGCCAAAACTACCCCCATGGGGGTAAGGGTAAGGGTGGGGGTGACAAAAATATCCCCAGTTGAGATTGGGTTTAGGGGTTGCTGTTGAATTATAGGGATCTGGTAGTATAGGATAAGGAGGAAGACACGGGCCCTACTTGGCTTTGTTAGCCCACCATTGCTCTCTCTAATCTCTGATCCCAGTAATCAGAGAGGAGTCATTTAACCTGTGTAGACTGAGTGAATTAACACACATAAAACACTAAGAACATATGTATACACTTGATATTCACAAGGAGCCCCCTCTTCCTTTGTGAATAGCAAAATCTGGATGCTTAAGTCCCTTATAAATGGGTGTAGATACCCACACACAACCGGACACCCTCAGGTTAGTGCACCTCTACATAAGATAATGCATGATCATGTGCCATGTATCACTCATGTGACAGTTGTTACAGTTATACTCTTATTATTTAGAGATAACAATGAGGGGGGAAATCTGTATATATTCAGCACAGCTATTTTTATAGTTATTTTGGTTTTTTTGTTTGTTTGTTTTGTTTTTGAGGCAGGATTTTGCTATAAAAATAGCCCAGGCTGGCTTCATTTTCCTCCTGCCTCAGCCTCTTGAGATCTGGGTTTACAGGTGTGTACTAACATGTTTGATATGGGTTTCTTCCTTTTGCTTTTTTCTTTTTTGGCTCATGATAGCCTCGAGCTCACTGTATAGCAGATGACTTCTAACCTTTCATCTCCCATGTGACAGCATTACAGGCTCATTTTGTGATGTAGACAAGTATTCTGCCAACTGAGCTATCTCCTCAGTTCTATAGACCTTTAAAAAAATCATTAAAAAGCCAGGTGGTGGTGGTACACGCCTTTAATCTCAGCTCTTGGAAGGCAAAGCAGGCAGATTTCTGTTTAAGGCCCATTTGATCTACAGAGCTAGTTCCAGGAGAGCCAGGGCTACTCAGAGAATCCCCGTCTCAAAAGATTATAACTTCTTTCTGGGCAGAAGTGGTAGAGAGATCTCTGTGAGTTCGAGGCAAGCCTGGTCTACAGAGCAAATTTTAGGAAGGCTACAAAGCTACAAAGAAACCCTGTCTTGAAAAACAAAAACCAAACAAATCTTTTAAAATCTTTTCCTGACCCTCTTTTTGTTTCATTTGAAAAATGGTTTTGTATAGCCGAGGTTGTCCCCAAACTTGATGTGTAGCCCAGGGTGACTTTAAACTCACAACCAATCCTCCTATCTCTGCCTCCCACGTGTAGTATTGTAGGCATGCACCACCGTATCTGACCATGAAAAAAAAATCATTTCTATCTGTACTTGGTTGAACACAGATGCGAACCCGAGATGGAGGGACAGCTGGGTGAGTTAGAGTCATCAAATACTAGCTGATGTCATTGTTGTCCTGAGGCAGAATGAATAAGGTTAAGTGCTGGTTGGCTTACTTAGCAAGGAGAGGAAGACCAGTAGAAAGTCTTTGCTCCTCTGTAGAGCTGGAGAGACAGACAACTCAGCAGGGAAGGATGTTTACTGCTCTTGCAGAGGACATGGGTTTGGTTCGCAACACCCGTATCAGGCACCCCAGAACACTGCCCTTTTCTGCCCTCCGTGGGTGCCTGCATGCCCACGGTGCACATAAATTCATGCAAACAAATAATAAACAAACTGTTTTAAGCCTTCTTTCTGCTGTCACTGGCATCAGATCCCTCCCCAGGTGTTTGCAATGCCTGCCGCGAGGGTCCGACAACCAGCAAACATTGAAGAGGCTGATGCACAGACAGACTATTTGCTATTTAGATTCTGGTCATGAATGTCCCTGGAGATTGTTACCAGAAGCCAAATGCCTTTGCCTGCCTTAAATGTTCTCTTGGTATTTCCTATGGGTCTCTCCAGGGGACTTTCTAGCCGTATCTCGCTTCCTGCCTCAGAAGTGTGGATTGTGCCATATCCATTGAGTGCCAAAGCCTTTAAGGTTGATTCCTGTTCTGTTCCCTGAAGACTCTTGAGGTTCATGGAATTTAATAACCCTCTAATATAGTATTTCTCTTTGATGCAATTAAAGAACGAAAGAACTTAGTTCAATTACATTAGCCATGGCTTCCTGACTCCAGTTGGCTGCTCATGTATGCAAGTTCAGCACAATAAGTGTGTATCCCCGGCTTCCCACCACCCCAGGCAGTTGACTGTGGTAGCCTTCTAAGACCAAGAACAGTTTGGGGGCTTGTTTTTCCTCTAGTGCCTCCCCCACCCCCGCCCCCATACACCTTTGCCTCTGCTGACTTTACTCTGTCTTCATATTTCTGCTGTTTCAGGAATATGTTCAAGTATACATCATAGACACCCCCAAGCTGGGTGTGGTGCTGCACACCTTTGTGGTTTCTTTATTTATTTTGTTGTTGTTGCTGTTCTTTTGAGACAGGTTTTCTCTGTCTAGCTCTTGCTGTCCTAAAACTCACTTTGTAGACCAAGCTGGCCTCAAACTCACAGAGATCACTCAAGCTTGTGGCCCCCCTGCCTCAGACTCCCAAATACCGAGACTACAAGTGTGTACTATAGCTTCCCTATTTTACGGACAGGGTCTCATTATAGCCCGTGTGGGCTTGCACTCCTGATGCCCCCCTTTCAGGTGTTGTGATTATAGGTGTGCACCACTAGCACCACACGTGGCTTTTCATGTTGGCTGCTGGAATGAATGCCAGTCATCCCATCTTGTCAGGGAGGTAGAGGACATGGAGGTGTGTGAGACAGGAACTTGATATGAAGACCAGGCTGGCCTTGAGCTCACATATATCTGCTTGCCTCTGCCTCCCCAATCTTGGATATAAAGGAGTGCATGCAGCACAATGTCCAGCATCCATTCTTAATTGTGAAATGAGGGAGAAAGAGGAATGTTTTATATAGCTTAATTGTCTACCTTTTTAGAATTTTTATTTATTTATTTATTTATTATGTATACAATATTCTGTCTGCGTGTATTCCTACAGGCCAGAAGAGGGCACCAGACCTCATTACAGATGGTTGTGAGCCACCATGTGGTTGCTGGGAATTGAACTCAGGACCTTTGGAAGAGCAGGCAATGTTCTTAACCACTGAGTCATCTCTCCAGCCCCCTTTTTAAGAATTTTTATGGGATTCTCAAGCACTAGTCCTACTTTTATTAACCATATCTAGCTGTTAAAATGTCGTTTTGTAAACAAAAACCAAAAAGGTGGTGTTGGTGTGCTTGTGTGTAGAGAGAGGTCAGGTTGCGGGAGGTCCTTCCGCTCCTCCAGCCAAAATCCAAACTGGTGTGGGATTGTTTATGACTTACGCCTTCAAGGTCAGAGGTCAATCTTCCTCAATTTTTTAATTAATTAAGTAATTAATTACTTACTTTATTTATTTTGAGGTCATACGTTGCAGCCCTGGCTGGTCTAGAACTCATGGTGATCCAACTGCCAAGTGTTGGGATTAAAGATGTGTGCCAGCATGCCCAGAACCCACCATGGTTTTTGAGACTGGGTCTTTCCAGCTAGACTGGGATCTACCTGTCACTGTCTCCCCAGTGCTGAGCTTACAGTTGTGTGCCACTTTGTCCATGCCCGCACAGCAAGCACCTTACTCACCGAGCCCTCCTTCCAGGCTCCAGGCACTATTTATTTATTGATGAGACTCAAACCCAGCCAGTTATATCCTGAACTCCCAAATGTAACCTATGTACATATATATTTCTGGGCACAAAACTGAGGTATATGTTAGAGAAAAAGAGAACTAAAATTTTAAAGATTTGTTTATTTTTATTGTATATGCATTGCTGTTTTTCCTGCATATATTATGTGTGTGCCACATGTATGCCTGCTACCTGTGGAGGCTGGAAAGGGGCATGGGATCCCCTGGAGCTGAAGTTACAGATGGTTTTAAGTTTCTGTATGGGTGCTGGGAAATGAACCCATATCCTCTGCAAGAGCAGCAAGTGCTCTTAACAACTGAGCCATCTCTCTAGCCTCTAAGTTCTGGATTTAATAAGAAAATAAAACTCTGGGTGTAAGGGTAATCCTAATGCTTGGGAGTCTGAGGCAGAAGGATTGCGTGACTGTAATGCCAGCCAGGACTGTATTGCAGACCCTGTCTCAAAAGACAAAGAACCAAACATGCTGCTGGCTCGTGATTTAATCCCAACACTTAGAATTCTAAGACAGGTGTGCTGTGAGTTTGAGGACACCCTGAACTACATAGTGAATTCTAGACCAACCTGGGCTACAGAGTAAAACTCTGTCTCAAAAAAGCAAAACTAGCCAGGCGGTAGTGGTGCACACCTTTAGTCCCAGCACTCGGGAAGCAGAGGCATGCCCTTCTCTGTGAGTTTGAGGCCAGCCTGGTCTACAAGTAAGTTCCAGAGCTGTTATAGAGAGAAGCACTATCTCAAAAAACAAAGAAAAAAAAAAAAAACCAACCAAAAAAAACTAATCAAGCAAAAGACTAAAACCAACAAAACACAACAACCAAAAGACCCTCAGTCTTGGAGTGGTGACACAGACTTGTAATCTCAGGCTGAGACAGGAGAATTGTGAGTTTGGGTGAGCCTGAGCCACACAACACAAGACTTTGTCTCTCACACAAAACACATTTGGAAGTGAAGGCTTAGAAGGTACCACACTTGCTTTGTAAGCATGAGGACCTAAGTGTGAATTCCCAAAACCCACACAATGCCAGGGGAACTAGTGTGGGTCTCTAGATCCAGGAAAGTGACACTGAGGCAGCCAGCCTGACGCTCACAGTGACAAACAACCCAGAGACTGGGGTTCTCCTGATTAGCACACACCTGCTGTGAAATCGCGATATGCAAGCACACGCAAATCTAACATTCTACTTCTTCCCCTTTGCCCGGCTGGGTTTTCGTGTTCGGGATGTTTGGGCACTATTCCCTTTGCTCTCACATCCGTCTCTGTAAACACCATGCAGCTCTGCAGGGCAGGACCTTTTCACCCACCAGTGGTTTGTGTTCATTTACCCGTGTCTAGTTGTTCACTGTGGCCCTGTCAGATGGCCATTTGGAGGCTTAAGGTGTACTGTTGATGGACAGTTTATTGTATATTCCCTGCCCTGAAGTTAAATTCCCCTCAAATATTATGTTAGTGTTTTCCAACTGTCCACATCTGCATTTACTGAGAACTTGCTATGTTTCAGGCACTGTTCTAGATACTTTATATGTAAGCAAGTATCATTTAGTCCTTCTAAGAACTCTAGGACCTTGACACAAAATATCATACTCTCAATTTTAGCCAGATATGCCACATACCTTTAATCCCAACATTTGGAAAGTAGAGATAGGTGGATTTCTATGAACTAAAGGTCAGCCTGGTTTACATAGTGAGTTTCAGGTCAGTCAGGGCTACAATATGAGACTCTATCTCTACAAAACAAAACAAATACCCACTTTAGTCATTGGGACAGTTTACACAGAAGTTATGTGATCTCCTCTGGAAACAGATGGGGAGATGAGAATTAAACGCGAGGTAGCCAGTCCCAGAGCCAGGACTTAGACCATGCTGGCTTTCTTTTGTAGGTGACAGATGCAGGGATGGCAAGGGCAGAGTGTGTCAGGTGTGTGTGTGTGTGTGTGTGTGTGTGTGTGTGTGTGTGTGTATGTGTGTATGGCAGGTATGTGGGATTGGGTTTTAGAATACATGGTCACATTTTATGTCTGTCTTTCATGTTTTGAATCCGGAGGGCTGAAAATGTAGCTCAATTGGTAGAGCCTGGCCTAGCATGCATGAAGCCCTGCTTCTATTCCCCACTGTCACTCAAGCAGCATGGTGGAACATGTCTGTCATCCTGTGACAGATAGAGGGAGGAGCTCAAGTTCAAGATCATCCTTGGCTATACAATTTGAAGCCAGATTGGGCTTCATGAGATTGTTTCTAAAGAGACCCAAACCAAACAGCAAACAAGTAAACAGGAAATAGGGCTAGATTAGAATTTGGTAGGTGGTCTGTGTTGCTAAATGAGTATCTCCTTGTGAAAGAAGAGGGTGAAATCTTCCAGAAACTTTGTTACCACGAATCACTCCAGAGCACTTAAACAATTTAGGAGGCATTTTCCTTTTATCTTCAGCTCTTATTTCCCTGAGTGTGCATGAAGTTATCTTTATTGCGCGTTGGAACTGTTCAATACGAGTCTCCAGGTTATTTTTGTTTCCCATCCAGCAGCTTCTGTTAGAACAAATGGGACCCTTATAGGGCACAATAAGATTAACACATTTGTATCGATCTCAAAGTAGTTCTTAGTAGCAATTCCCCAAACTTAAACAAGTTTGGTATTTAAACAAGATTGATAAACTCCACTTTAGAGAACTATATCACTAGGAACAAAGAAAGGAAGTCCAGAACTCCCAAATATCCCTTCTGCATCACCTTAACCTATCAGCATAGTGTCGTTTAAAGGACATGCATTATGTAAGTTTTGTCAAATGTTCGCACCCACAAATTGTGTTTTCACAATGGTTATTCAAATTCTGGGTATTAAGAATTTAAAGAGCTCAGCCTGGTGGTGGTGGCAGCGTGCATGGCTTTAATCTCAGCACTTGGGAGGCAGAGGCAGTGGGATCTCTGAGCTTGAGGACAACCAGGACTACATAGAGAAACCTTGTCTTGAAAAAACAACAACAACAACAGCCAGAATTTAAAGAGAATATAGCTTTGTTTATTGTGTAGCTGTGTTGGTCAGCATTCTGACACTATAACAAAATTCCTGGGACAATTAACATAAAAAGAAAAAGGTTTTACTTGGGTTTTCGGTTCTGAAGGTTTAAGACCAAATGATGCTGTTATTTTGTCTTCTAGCAAGGGCAACACATCAGACTGAGAGCGAATAGGAGAATAAACCACACTCATCTTATGATACATGAAGCAACGCAGAGACTGAGGTCTCACAGAATATTTCAAGGACATATCTCCTGTGATCTGAAGACCTCTCATTGGCCACTAAGTTAGGAACCAAGCTTCCAAGCATAGGGACCATAATGGGCAGTCTGTGTCCATACAATAGCGTTGTCAGGAGCTCTTCATTTTGGGTGGGACATGTAATTTGCTATTGAGAATGAGTCATTGGTGAACTAGATGGAACTGTAGACCTCCTATCTTCTGAATTGCTTCATTTTGTTAATCTTTCCTCTTAGGATCCTGCCTCTGGATCCGAGCCAGAAGTGCTCATGTTTCCCAGCTCTCACCAGGGTCCCAGAAGACAGAAACGAGACTGGGTCATCCCCCCCATCAGCTGCCCAGAAAATGAGAAGGGCCCGTTTCCTAAAAAACTGGTTCAGGTAGGGGAAGGACTGAGAGAAAAGATGATGAAAGGACCCAGTGTCAAGATATTTCCTTGCCAATTCTGTCTCTTTTCTGGTTTTGTGCAGATCAAATCCAATAGGGACAAAGAAACCAAGGTTTTCTACAGCATCACTGGCCCAGGAGCTGACAGACCTCCTGTTGGTGTGTTTATCATCGAGAGAGAATCAGGCTGGCTGAAAGTGACAGAGCCTCTGGATAGAGAAAATATTGCCACTTACACCGTGAGTATTTATTTCATAGATACTTGTTGACCATTAGGTAACAATTGTCAAGTTTTGGGGGCCATTTATGTTTTATCCCCGGGTTAGATTCCCAGATCGTGTGAGTAGCATCACTTATCCCTTGACATGTTGGTAAAGTGGACACAAGAGAACACTTTGGGATGGTACTTGTTTTGTTTTGTTCTTTTCCTTAGAGGAGAAAAGCAGGGGTTCCTCCTAGCCTACATGAGCATAGATAGAAGTTGTCAAAGTGGAGCTGGAGAGATGGCTCAATGGTTAAAAAAATTTGTTGCTCTTATAATCTTGACTTTAATTCCCTGCACTCATGTCAGGTGGCTCATAACCACCTGAAACTCCAGCTCCAGGCGCTCCATGTAATGCATGAAAGTGCATGTGAACACACACACACACACACAGAAGTGAAAAGGTGTCAACTTGTTCTTGGGGTTGGGGAGAAGCTTCTTACATAATAAAATATATTCTGATGGCAATAATAGGGAGGAAAATCCAAGGGGCTTAGTTACAATGTGAGCTTAGGTAACCTATAGATGCCATATGCAGAAAAATCTCAGGGAAACATTAGACTGTTGTAGCCAGAGGAAAATTACCCCAATTAAAGTGAATCTCTACGTGATAAGTGTGTTCTCATCTATGAGTTTATCCAGCAGCAGCAGCACATCGTGTGGAGATCTCACAGTGGAAGGGGTGGAGGCTGATGAAGCCACTCTCACTGGACTCCCTTGCCCAGTTCCTCTTCCAGGCAGGGCTAAGTAACACTCACTTGGTTCTTCTTGTAGCTCTTCTCCCATGCTGTGTCATCCAATGGGGAGGCAGTGGAGGATCCCATGGAGATTCTGGTCACAGTGACCGATCAGAATGACAACAAGCCAGAGTTCATCAAGGAGGTGTTTGAGGGAACTGTCTACGAGGGCGCTCGTCCAGGTAAATCAATCACAGTGAACTGGGTACCCAGAAGGATGCTCCAGTTCTTTGGGATTAGAACCTGAAGTTCAGACGTGTTCTTTGAAAGCCACCGTGAGAGATGAGGTGGGAGTGTGGGGGAAGCAGATATAACATTTGTAAGTAGAAACAATAAAAGAATACTTCTTAGGGCTTGGTGTTGCATTAATGCCAATCCAGCTCCAGAGGATGCGACACCCTCCTCTAGTCTTGGAGGGCATCTGCATGTATGTACAACACACACACACATACCACACACACACACACACACACACACACACACACAAATAATAATAATAAGATCTTTAAAAATAAGAGCTAGCAGGAGTAAAAGAGAAGGCCTTGGTAGGGTTATTTTAGTTAATTCATTCCCAACATTCTCTGCCTTGCCTCCTCTCACCTAAGTGATAGGCTTTGAAAGTTGAGTTCCCTGAACGTTTGGTGTAACGTTCCCTTCGCTGGCAATTTGATGAGAATTCTAGAAATAAAAATCATGATCAGGAGTGGTCATCTCCTAGGTCAGGGTTGTTCTGAGCAGACAAATGCCAAGGTAGCACCGCAGCTATTCTAAATCTCTCCTCTACACTTCCAGGAACCTCTGTGATGCAGGTCTCAGCCACTGACGCAGACGATGATGTGAACACCTACAATGCTGCTATTGCCTATACCATCATCAGCCAAGATCCCGAGCTGCCTCACAAAAACATGTTCACTGTTAATAGAGAGACAGGGGTTATCAGTGTGCTCACCTCCGGACTGGACCGAGAGGTCAGTCAGGGCTCAGGGGGATTGCAGTGGGAGTTGAAGGCAAATGAATGTATACTAAATTTCAAGGATGGTGCAACCTCTGCTGAGCCTGGCAGTCCGTGTGAGTCTTTGCATCTAAATGCCTGGAGGCAGGCAGCCTGGGCAATGAGACAGATGATGACATAGTCTAGTTTTCTGTATGCAGTGGGCTGCACCAGGCTTGGGCTGGCTGTTGGAGCAGGTTCTGATTCCATGTTTGATTTCTGCAGAGTTATCCTACATATACCCTGGTAGTTCAAGCTGCTGACCTTCAAGGCGAAGGCTTAAGCACAACAGCGACAGCCGTGATCACCGTCCTCGATGTTAACGACAACGCTCCCATCTTTAACCCAACCACGGTAATTCTGCCACTTTGGTTCTGTGAGGGGCTCTTCATTGTTCAGGAGCTAAGTTCTGCCTCTGTGCATGGGTGAATCCCTAGGTTAGTGAATGTGAACTTCAAACACTAGAGCAGTGTGGTCTGGTAGTATGCTTCCTAAATGCTGGGTTAAGCTGCCATGCCCAGCTTCATAAGAGTTATTAAATACCAAGAATATCAAATGTATTCAAGGAGAAGGTTTTAAGAGCCAGATAAGGAACTTCACATACATATTTTTAATTAAATTAAGATTTTTGGGACACAACATTTTATAGCCCATGTTGGCAGGCAGGCATGTAATGCCATGCTCAGCTTTTTAGTTTTGGAAGGGAAGATCATACTTTCCTAAGTTAGAAGTCGATTTAATGGTTGGTTAACAGAGGCCTGAATAGTGTAGTTTCTAGAAGCAGAGCTGACTTTTTCCCTCTTATGTCACAAAAGGCCCATGGAAAATTGCTCTTTCATGATTTATCTTTTTTAATGGTTACTAATAAAGATTAGAGAGTGGAGGGGGGTTGGGGACAGATGACACGTGTATCTTTAGATCACAGTTTGCAAACAATGTGGCCAACAGATGGTTCTTAAACCCAGCGCCTTGGAAAGATGCTTCAGGCACTGCTGTTTGGTCTGCTGATGGGAAACGAGGGCCTACTCTTTACCCTTGGGGGCTCACTCCTGACGTCACTCATTCCACTTCTCTGGATCTCATTCCTTTAGCTCAAGTCCTGGCTCCAAGTTTCTCACTTTGTCATAATGACCTGGTTTTCCCTTTGCTCTGCAGTACGTGGGTCAAGTGGATGAGAATGAGGAAAATGCGTATATTGCCACACTCAAAGTAACTGATGATGATGCCCCCCATACTCAAGCGTGGCAGGCCGTGTACACCATAGTCAATGATCCTGACCATCAATTTGCTGTTATCACAGACCCCACAACCAATGATGGCATGCTGAAAACAGCTAAGGTTTGTATGACTGACGTGCTAGCAGCTGGGCCTCTCTTGTCCTATAATGTCGTCTTATGATTGGGTCAACACCATCAGGGGAAGGGTAGAGTCTGGGGATGGCATTGACTTTCTGGGGATTGCAGAAACTTTCTTGGCTTGTTAGAAATGAAGTAAGTGTTAGTCTTTTGGAAAATGTCCTAAACCCAGAGGCTTGCAGTGATTCTCAACCTATGCATCGTGGCCTTTTAAGAGCAGAATGACCGTTTCACAGGGTTGCTTAAGACCATTGGAAAACATAGATATTTGCATTATGTCTCGTAACAGTAGAAAAATTACAATTTCAAAGTAGCAATGAAAATAATTTTATGGTTGGGGTCACCACAACATGAGGAACTGAGGGTTGCAACATTAGGAAGGTTGAGAACCATTGGGCTAGAAAGACAATGGCTTTTGGTAGCCAGCACTTATAACTGCCTGTAAATCTTTGGAAAATATCCCCCCCCCCAAAAAAAAGTCTAAATTAAAAGTGGGAATGATTTACTGGTAAATTTAGCAAAAGTTAATAGATGCCCAGAGTACCTCAGAGCTTTAATGTCTCTTCAGCAAGTGAGCATTTGAGAACTGCTGTCAATCAAAGGTGGCAGTTTTTGGAAGTGTGTTTCACTGTGTAGTCCTGGCTGTGCTGGAACTCACTCTGTAGACCAGGCTGGCCACGTACTCACAGATCCACCTGCCTCTGCTGGGATTAAAGGCATGTGCCACCACCACTCAGCAGAAAATTTTTTTAAACTAACCGTTTCTTTTTTAAAAGCTATTTATTTGTTCTGTGGCAACAGTGGGTGAACTCAGGGCCCTGAGCATGCTGGGCAGGTGCTCCACCACTGAGTCACGCACCCAACCCCTTGTATTTTAGTTTTAACTTTTTCCCTCTCCTGGTCTCTAGGGCTTGGATTTCGAAACCAAGCAGCAGTATGTTCTATATGTGACAGTGGCCAACGTGGACCCCTTTGAGGGGAATCTTGCCCTTTCCACAGCCACTGTGACGGTGGATGTGGTGGATGTGAATGAAGCCCCCATCTTTGTGCCAGCCGAGAAGAGGGTGGAAGTACCGGAAGACTTCGGTGTGGGTCAGGAAATCACATCCTACACTGCCCGCGAGCCAGACATATTCATGAACCAGAAGATTACGTAAGTTGGACCAAGGACTAGTATTGAGTGGGTGCATACTTTGTTTTGTTTTGTTTTTTCAGGACAGGGTTTCACTGTGTAGTCCTGGCTGCTTTGGCACTCACTGTTTAGAACAGGCTGGACTCAAACTCAGAAGTACACCTGGCTCTGCCTCCCCAGTGCAGACATGTATATATGTCTCCCCAGTGTGTGTGTGTATGTATGTATGTACGCAATTTAAGCCAATATAAATGTAGTCATTTGTCATGTAATGATAATATATTCTGAGAAATCTGTCCATGAGAAGTTGGATCATTTTGAGAACATTATATAGTTTGTCAAACAAATTAAGATGGCTGCAGTTTCCCTGAAGAATTAAATCACCTTATGTGCATAGCCAGTGGGTGTCAGTTCTTTCCCGCCACTGTGTAGGTCTTGGGTATCAGGTTCACTGTCAGGCTCGCTACCAAGTATCTTCACCCACTTACACCCCTCACCCGCCCACCCACGTGGAAGCTCACAGCCATCTATAACTGTGGCGATTTGATATCTCTTTTGACCTTTTGCCCCATGTGGTACACATACGTACACTCAAGCACACTCACAAATACATAAAAATGTGTGTGTGTGTGTGTGTGTGTAGTTGTGTATCAGCTGAATAGTACCTGTGACCTCCGCTCCATTCTGTCTGCTGCCCCTACTCTAAGCCACAGCTTGTGCCCTCAGGTATCGGATTCTGAGGGACACTGCCAAGTGGCTGGAGATTAACCCAGAGACTGGTGCCATTTCCACTCGGGCTGAGATGGACAGAGAAGACGTGGAGAACGTGAAGAACAGCACGTATACAGCTCTCATCATCGCTACAGATAATGGTACAGATACTGCGTGACTGATCCACATCCCTGGGCTCCATCACTCTCCAGCCTGTTCGCCTCCTGTGCCCCTGCCTTTCTTTGGGAGTCATGATTTCGTTCCTTTTCTTTTTTTTTTAAATTTATTTATTATGTATACAATATTCTGTCTACCTATATGCCTGCAGGCCAGAAGAGCACACCAGACCTCATTACAGATGGTTGTGAGCCACCATGTGGTTGCTGGGAATTGAACTCAGGTCCTCTGGAAGAACAGTCAGTGCTCTTAACCGCTGAGCCATCTCTCCAGCCCTCATTCCTTTTCTTTTATCCGTAAAAAAATACTTGGTAACAAAATTCCAAAATTTGAGTCAAGTAGGGTTTCTTTCTCTTGTCTCTCCCTGCACTGGAAGCTCATTCCTACCTGCTGAAACCTGGGTTTGTATCCCAGGTTCAAGACTGTGAATGTATTATTACTTAATTTTGTTGTTGTTTTTGGTTTTCAAGACAGGGCAACTCTGCTTGTCCTGGTACTTACTCTGTAGACCAGGATGTCCTCGAACTCAGAGATCCACCTGTCTTTGCCTTCTGAGTGCTGGGATAAAAGGTGGCATGAGCCACCACTGCCTGACATTACTTAATTCTTTTAACCGTCTTTTTAAATTTCATGTTATTTTTGATACATGGTTTTACCGTATAAACCTGACTAGATTTAAATTCACCTTGAACTCACATGGAGCCCAGAAGACCTCAAATTTGAGGTGAGCGACCCCATCCTGTGAAGTTCTAAGATTCCAAGTAAGTGCAAGGCGGTGGTGGCACACACCTTTAATCTCAGCACTCGGAGGCAGAGTTAGGCAGATCTTTGGGTTCCAGGCCAGCCTGGTCTACAGAGTGAGTTCCAGAATGGTCACGGCTACACAGAGAAACCCTGTGTCAAATAAATAAATAAATAAATAAATAAATTAATTAAAAAATAAAATAAAATTATTCCAAGCAAGCACTACCACAGTCAGCTTTTTCTTAACTTTTTAAAAGATCTGGTGGAGCCAGGCTTCTGTAGGAGGCTGAAGCAGGAGGATTGTAATTCCAAAGGATACACAGTAAGACGTTGTGTTAAACAAACAACAGCCTCATGGTGGTGGTGCACGGCTTTAATCCCAGCACTCAGGAAGCAGAGGCAAGCAGATCTCTGTGAGATCGAGGCCAGCCTGGTCTATAAGAGCTAGTTCCAAAGCTACAGAGAAACCCTGTCTCGAAAAACCCAAAGCAACAGCAAAAAAACAGTAAAAACAATAAACCCCCCAAACTTAAGTGGATTAATAGTATAATATCAAGAAGAGGAAAGCTGCATTTATATGAAGAACAACTCAATCATTGGACACAAATATGCAATGAGCTTGTGAGAAAGGGGAGACGTGGTAGGGCAGAGGCTGTACGTGTCGTATGGAACCTGCTGAAGGGGCACAGTCAGCTGGAAGGTGATATTATCCCTGAGCCGTGACAGCCTTTCTGTTTTCTCCTAGGTTCCCCAGCTGCCACTGGCACAGGGACTCTTCTCTTGGTCCTATCTGACATCAATGACAACGCTCCCATCCCAGAACCTCGAAGTATGCAATTCTGCCAGAGGAACCCACAGCCCCATGTCATCAACATCATCGATCCAGACCTGCCCCCCAATACATTCCCCTTCACTGCTGAACTCACCCACGGGGCCAGTGTCAACTGGACCATCGAGTACAATGACCCAGGTGTGAAGTCCAGCTCCATCTCTAGAGCAGCACTGCCTGCCTCGTTTCTGCCTTCCCCCTTCCCGATTTCCCTTCTCGCTCCAGATGCACCCCTCTTGGTATCGGGTGCCAGTTCCTTCTACTTCTCATGCATTCTCCCTTTCCTCTGAGCATACTGTATAGGAATATGGACCCCAAACAATCCCTTAACCCAGCTGCGTACCTTTGGTGCCCTAAACATTCCCTGGTCTCATTTCCCTAGGCCAAGAATCTCTCCTTTTGAAGCCAAAGAAGGCCTTAGAATTAGGTGAATACAAAATCAACCTCAAGCTCATGGATAACCAGAACAAAGACCAGGTGACCACACTGGACATCCTTGTGTGTGACTGTGAAGGGGCTGTCAACAACTGCATGAGGGCAGGCTACGTGGAAGCAGGATTGCAAGTTCCTGCCATCCTCGGCATTCTTGGAGGGATCCTGGCTTTGCTGAGTAAGTACAGGGGCAAGTGCCTCAGCCTGCGACCTAAGACTGGAACAGGCCATTTCCTAGGGAGAGCTTTCTGTTGGGACCCAGGGTCTTTCTGTTCTGATTCTTTTTGTGCTTCCTAAGATTGAGTGCATGCAAGTCACCTGTGCCTCTCAGTTAAGCCAGAACTGAGACCCAGGGTCCCTTCCTCAGAGGCTACATTTTGATTTAGTTTCCAAGTGATGCTGAAGTTTCAGGACTACATGTGTGGTTACAAGGCCATGGCACACTCACGGTTCTTATTAGCACAGCCAAGGCTGGCAGATACCCTCACCCACCCACCTTGGAGGACAGATAAGAGAGGAAGTTGAAGCTACCTAACTGTACATTGTGGACACCATTACTGCTCACATCCCCTTGGCTCAAGAGCAGCCGTACCAAATTGCTAGGCAGCCTGGAGACTCCTGCTGCTTAACTCCAACTGGTTGACTGAGCCCAGTGATTGTTTGGGGGACTGTGGAGATGGTGAACAGGTTGAACAATGAATATCCATGGACAATGGAGATGTTGGAAGGAAGCTGGCCATTTCTATCCATAATCCTTGGTCCGATTTTACCTATGGAGTGTTCTGGACTTGGTGCTGGTGCCCTGAGGGTTTCTATGATCAATGTTTTTTGTTGTTCCTGACCTTTTTTTTTTTTCCTTCCCCAGTAGATATAGTTTATTAGACTTGACTGAAGTTGGGGAGATTCTCATCAGGCATTTAAAGCAGAAGTTTTGCTAGGAGTCAGATGTCTAACCTTGTGGTAGGAGGCTGCTTGTTGGTTCCTGGCCAACTGGCTCAGCTCCTGACCCCGAGTGGGCACAAAACACCTGGGCCCACAAATGCCATTCAAATGCTCCATAGCTGGAGTTTGCACTGGCAGCATGGCCCAGGAAGCTGCCTTTTTAAAATGTGCAGCTTTTTTTCTGTTCCCAGTGAATCAGGAAAACCTCCCTTAAGGGAGCTGCAGCATGCCACCAGCTGAAAAAAAATGAGGCTAAACTTTGTTATTCTGTGTCTAGAGTTGCTTTTCAAGATTTTTAGGTTTTACATGGACTTAGTCCACCAAGTTGGTGCCTCAAATGTAGTGGGAGGCTGTTTATTGGTCCCCTCTCCCTCCTCTAGCTAGCTTAGACTGGCAGGTCTGGAACTTACAATGTAGCCAAGGCTGGACTTGAGGTCATTTTCCGTCAAGTGCCTACCCATCTGCCATTTGCCTGGAGTTGCAAGGCTGCCGTGCCCATAAATGTTGCTTCCTCTGGTCTCCTTGCCTATGACTCATCTCTCCCCCACTCCCCCTTGTATCCAGTTCTGATCCTGCTGCTCCTACTGTTTCTACGGAGGAGAACGGTGGTCAAAGAGCCCCTGCTGCCTCCAGATGACGACACCCGGGACAATGTGTATTACTATGATGAAGAAGGAGGTGGAGAAGAGGACCAGGTGGGTTTTAAAGATGCAAAATTTAAGATATGACGGGGTGGGGGGAGAGGTGGGGGGTGGTGCCTGATACTGGCAGTGAGTCATCCCACAGTACTGCTATGGAGCACCAGAACCCTGTGATCTCAGTGATACAGAAGTCAGGAAGGTGGAGGTTTCTGTCCCACCAGTCAGCTCTATCCTGCCAGCTGGCTTCTGAATAGCTACACAGAGACTTACTGGCTATGCTGGGGAGATTCTCATATCAGGTATTTAAAGCAGGTTTTGCTAGGAGCCAGGTGGCTACTCCATCACTCCACCCTTCTTCCCAGCATCCTCTCAGTTTGGCTCTCCCACCTAACCTCTTCTTGCCTAGCTATTGACCAGTCAGCTTTTTTTTATTAAACCAATCAGAAGGCACCTTGTCCAAAAAACCATCTTCACAGTGTACAGAAGGATCATTCCACAGCACCTTCCCCAGACACTGTTGTGTTCTCTGGAGCGTTTATTGATTACATTGAAGCTTATAGCATCTGTAAATCCACGAGGATGCAGCTAACCCAGGCAGAGGAGTTTTGCTGAAAGGCCCTACGCTGCACCCTGTGTCCATGTCTGCTGCACGGGAGCCTAATTGATACGGGTTCCTGTAGGCATGCATCACTTGCTGTCTTGTTACCTGAGCCCCTCACATGACAGAGTCCACTGTTAACAGGCAGGATCAGCTATGGTTGGGGAGGACTGAATAAAATTTGCCAAGCAATAACAATCCAATAGTCATGCCCCGTGAAATGAGTAAGACACAGAAGTTTGCATTCATAGAATCCCCAAGTGGTCTCTTCTTTCAGTGAAAGTTAGGAGACTCTGAACTTTGGAAACGGACATTTCATATGCTTTTGGGCGCGTGTTGGTAAACACCGCACAGAGGGTAGTTTTGGGTTTTCCAGTGGCACAGCCTGCGATGCTGTGAAGTAAACAAGCCCCCCGCCTATGCACTCCTTCCTTTTTCACTTGCTGCCATGTCTCCGCTCTTCTCTAGGACTTTGATTTGAGCCAGTTGCATAGGGGCCTGGATGCTCGACCTGAAGTGATTCGAAACGATGTGGCTCCCAGCCACCTGAGCATGCCCCAGTATCGTCCCCGACCAGCCAATCCTGATGAAATCGGGAACTTCATCGATGAAGTAAGTAGGCAAAGCTGTGAGCCAGGGCACGGTGCGTCTCTTAACTTGGGAACCAAGGAGAAAAACATCCCTGTGAGAACCTTCGCATTCTTGCCTTATGGTGTCTGCTTGTCTAGATCCTTGAGACAAAACCAAAATCTACTTACAAAGATTTCGTAGGAGTAAAAGGAGTTGTACTGCAGACTTAGTTTGACTTTCCTGCTCCATAATCTAGGTGTCTGTCTTTTCTGTTGCTGCACTGAGGCCAAGGCAGCTTTCAGAAGAGTCTAACGAGGGACTCCAGAGGGTTCGAGTCCATGACTCTCATGGCAGGGAGCGTGGCAGCAGGCGGGCATGCGTGGCTGGAGCAGTTGAGGGCTCACATTTCCATCTACAAGCAGAAGGCGGAGAGAGAGACAAAGGGAGCTAATTGGAAATAGCTGATCTTTTAAATTCTATTCTCCATGACACACCTCCTGCAACAAAGGCCATACCTCCTAATCCTTTCAAGCAGTTCTAACTTGGGACCAAGCATGCAAGACTATGTAACTCCAGAAGCCTTTGTACTCCTTATGTAGACCAGGATGGCAGAAGGTACCAGAAGGAGTCTGTCCCACGTTGGGCATAGCTTGAGCATAAGAGACCTTAAAGCCTACCCCCCCCCCCACAATGACACACCTCCTCCAACAAGGCCACACTACTCCAGCAAAGCCACGCCTGCTAATAATGCCACTCTGTGTGGGCCTATGGCTGTCATTTTCATTCAAACCACCACATAGAGGATGACCTTAAATTCCTGATCCTTCAACTTCACCTTTCAGGGTTAGCATTTAACAATGACAGTGTGCATCAGCCTTTGAGGATCTTCTGGGCTGATCTCATTGTTTTTAGCCTCTGTCCATGCTGATTAGCGGTTTGGGATCCTTGCTTTGGTTTCCGGGGATCCCATCCTGACAGGCAGCTGTCCCTCAGAAGAAGCATTCTGTGACTTGTCCTTCTGTGTTGATACACATGTTATAATTAATATGGTGCTCTTCCCTCTAGAATCTGAAGGCAGCTGACAGCGACCCCACGGCACCCCCTTACGACTCTCTGCTGGTGTTTGACTATGAGGGGAGTGGTTCCGAAGCTGCTAGCCTGAGCTCACTGAACTCCTCCGAGTCGGATCAGGACCAGGACTACGACTATCTGAACGAGTGGGGCAACCGCTTCAAGAAGCTGGCTGATATGTACGGTGGCGGCGAGGATGACTAGGAGACTACAGAGGAGCCCCTGGGTGCGGCCATGGAAGGTTCAGAATAATGTTGCCAGTGGCCTTTCGTCTCCTTCCCCAAGTTTGTAAAAAGAGAGACTGATTTGATATGCGGTTTGCATGGTGGCCTCGTTCTACCAGTCTACTGTGTTAGAATGGTTGTCATTTGTTCTTGAAATCAGTTTTTTGTTTTTACAGGGCTGGGATTTGAACTCTGCCACTGAGTCACAGGCCCACCCTCTCCTTATTTTAATATTTCTCTCCTTTTCCGTGGATGGGATGAATATGGGGCTTTACAGTGAGAGGCGAGTCCTCTTGTTACCAACCTATTGCCCCAGTTGAGAGTTTTTTTTATTTCAGAATGACAATTCGAGCCTCAGAAGGGTCAGCTAGCACTGGCAGTTTAAGAGATAGGGGAGAGGGTCTGCCCTATTTCTCTTTCATTGTGTATAGGAAATGGTTTGTTTTTGTTTTTGAGCTAGGGATCTAGGCAAGTTCCAAGCCCTTCACCCCGCACTAAATTTTTTTTTTGTTTTGTTTTTTTTGTTTTTTGAGACAAGGTTTCTCTGTGGTTTCGGAGCCTGCCCTGGAACTAGCTCTTGTAGACCAGGCTGGTCTCGAACTCCCAGAGATCCGCCTGCCTCTGCCTCCCAAGTGCTGGGACTAAAAATTTTAAATTGTGTACTTTCCCACAGTTATTATGTTTGTGTTCTGTATTCTCATACCCACTTATGCTCCTGAATTCTGTTGCCCTGCCCAGGTGCTATACTCTATGATGCGGAAGTGACTGGGTCTTTTTGTGGTGAGAGACAGGTATCGTGGGAGGGGTGCGACTGAAGGGGTAGTGTAGATTTAAAGACCTTCATAGTTTTCCTTCCTCACCTCCAGATTTCTCACTTGAAATGGGAATTCCTTGTGCGGAGTCACTGTCTTCTAGGTGAAAGCCACAGTGGGGTGTGTTGCTCCGGTTCTCTGTAGGGAGCCATGACCACAGCTGGTAGGAAGGCTTTCAGGCCCCCTTCGGTTTCTTATGCTTCCTTCACACCAACGTAAAAGAGCCGTGTGCTCTAAGACTCCCCAGTGCCCAGCGTGCTGCAGCCAAAGACAGAGAGCAAATGCGAGAGACTGGCTCGTGTGTCACGGTGCCTGGCCAGCTCACACACTGATGGTGAGGCTTGAACTCTTTCTCAGGAAACTTCTGGAAGAATAGAGGGGTCTCACCATGTGCTTCCTGGCTGGAGTCCTTTTCTGCAGCTTCTGAAGCCCAGGAAGCATGCCCTTCCAATGCCTGCTGCTTTTGATGGTAGCTACAGAAAATGCTGGCTGAGTAGGGCCAAGTATGCATAGAAAACTGAGACTATTAGAAATTGTGCATTTTCTTGTAGAAGCAGGAAGAAACACTGTTCCAATGGGAGAAAGGGGGCGAGGGCCTTGATTTGAGTCTTTTAATTAAAAATGAAAATTTCAGCTTTTTGATAACCACTGGAGAGAATTTTGTTAAAAGTGCTTTACTCGCGACTATTTTTTGGGAGAAAATAATGACTGCAATCAACTGTGAGAACTGTTGATTTCTCTGTAGTTTAAATGTCTACTGTAGTCAGTGTAGAGTGTCACTTGTATGTAGTTTGAGTGTATATGTGTGTGGGTACTGATAATTTTGTATTTTATGGGGAGTGGAAAGGTAAAAGATTAAAACTGTTCTAAGATACATTTTTATAAATTTTATTAAAGAGTTTTGTTAAACTGTTGTGACGTTTGATTGATTTGACTCTACCAGAATTCCAAGTGAGACAAAAAGACAAAGGAGGTGAGCTCAGAATCCCAGCACTGGGGAGGCAGAGGCAGGTGGATCTCTGAGTTCAAGGCCAGCTTGGTCTACAAACAGAAACCCTGTCTCAGGGGGAAAGTGGCGGGAAGGAGCCAAACCATGGAGAAGGGAGCTTGCAGCTGAAATGACTTCTCCGTCCTTTCATTCCTTCTGCCTGGGAGGGAAATGCACGCACAAGGCCGCTGCTCAGAGTGGCCTCTGAAGAGCAAGCAGTGCCAAGGTCAATGGGACAGAAGCAAACCCACAGTTTCCTCTGCAATCAGTAAATATTTCTTGATAGTGGAGGCAGCGATTCTGCGTGAATATGGTGTGGCCTCATCCCGAGAAACATTTATCGATTCCCTTCCACTCTCTTCCCCCCATTCCATGACACTAGAGCTTGAACCTAGAGCTCTGAGCTTGCTAGTAGGGTCCAAACATTCAGATGTACCCCCAGCTTAGTAATGCTTACTCTTTTGTAAATTTTTTTTTACAATTATGTATATTTATTTATTTATTATGTATAGTGTTCTGTCTGTCTGTATGCTTGCTGGCCAGAAGAGGGCACTAGATCTCACTACAGATAGCTGTGAGCCACCATGTGGTTGTTGGGAATTGAACTCAGGACCTCTGGAAGAGCAGTCAGTGCTCTTAACCTCTGAGCCATCTCTCCAGCCCTGTAAATTTTTTATTTAGCTTTTAGTTTTTTTAAAAATGTGTGTGAGCTGGGCAGTGGTGGCTCACACCTTTAATCCCAGCACTCAGGAGGCAGAGGCAGGCAGATTTCTGAGTTTGAGGCCAGCCTGGGCTACAGAGAGAGTTCCATTACCTCCAGGGCTACACACACAGACCATGTTTTGAACCACCCACCAAATAAGATTGTGAGTGTATATGTGAATGCTGGTGCCCTTGGAGGTCAGAGGTTTCAGATCCTCTACAGCTAGTAAGAGGCAATTGTGTGCCAACCTCTGTGTGTGTGTGTGTGTTAGAAACTGAAACTGAGTCCCAGAAGAGCAGTATGCACTTAACCACAGAACTATCCTCTGTCTTTCCTTCGTTTTAAACGTATGCTTTTTGTGGTACTGGGTGCTGTAGGAAGACCTGCCGCTTGTGATTATCTGCCTACTGGGGCATGGCCTCTTATACTGATGTGGACACAGCCTGCATCCACTCTTGGAGCTGATAAAGTGAATGCAGCAAATAAAATGACTGGATCCTGGCGAAAGCCAGTGTGTCTTGCTCTTGGTCTTTTGTTTGTTTTTATTTTAAAGCCAATGTCTCACTGTAGTCTGGACTGGCGTTAAATTGCTGTCTAGGGTAGCTCACACTGTCCTTGAATTTGCACAAATGCCCAGATTGACTCTAGTCTTTAAGTTAGGAAGAAACTGGTGTCCTAGTGTCATCTGTCACCGTCATTAAACACTGAGAAAAGTAACTCGGGGAAGAAAGGGTTTGTTTGGTTTACACTTTCAGGGCACAGTCTATCACTGAGGGAAGTCAGGGCAGGGACTTGAAGCAGAATCCATGGAGCAATGATGCCTACTGGCTGATGGTCGGGGTGGAGGGGTAGGGGAGCAGGAAGGGTCTGAACCGTGTATCCCTGGATAACCTGGAACTTTGTAGTTATGGCTGGCTTAAAACTCAGAGAGGTCTGTTTGCCTCTACCTTCCAAGTGCTGGGATTAAAGAAGTCATTTCAGCTGGAAGCTCCCTTCTCCATGGTTTGGTTCCTTCCTGCCCACTCTGCCATCGAGACAGGGTTTCTCAGTTGTACACATGACTTCTTAGACCAAGCTGGCCTTGAACTCAGAGATCCACCTGCCTCTGCTGGTGAGTCCCCCATGACTGGCTACATGAGGACTGTTTTTGCTCCCCAAGACTTCTAGCCATTAATTTGGAGGGGCAGGAGTCAGCCATGCTCCACCCCAGTGCGCCTCGTGCCCAGTGCACCTCAGGGATGGTCAAGGAGCTTTTTTACACTAGGTCTTGAGAAGGAAGTGGCAATGATAGAGGACCATGGTTGGCCTTTGTCTTTTTTCCTTCTCTTCCTGCTTCAGCCTCCTGAGTGCAGCCAGGGGTGTTCACTGGGGAGGGCAGATGTACTAAAGAGTGTGTTCCCAGAAGCATTGTCCTGGGGCAGGAAGAGGAACGGTAGGAGAGAGGAAGATGGACAAGGGGAGCAATGGGCTGGAGTAGAGTATACCAGCAAAGGGCAATGGTGTGTGTGGCATAAATGTCATAATCAATTATTCTTATGCTAACTAAAAGTTATTAATTAAAAATAAAAAGCATTGTCTTGAGATCTTTGAATGTCCCACCAGGAATTATGGAGGTGAAAAGCTGATGATCTGAATCTCAAATTCTCTTCCATGTAAACATGACTTGGGGGGTTATGGTTTTAGTATAAAATGAATTTTCTAGTAATGCAAGAGCCGTATAAATAGAACAAAGAGGAGCTTTACTAAGGACATTTCAGAACCTTACCACTGGGGGTGCCAATGCAGTTTATTGGCAGAGAGCATGATCTAGGGGCTCTGGCTTTAATCTCTGTCCCCAATAAACAAATACATATACCAATGGTGATGTTTGTAGCTATCACATTCATAGAGGATATATGTATGTGTATGTTTACTTTTAGAATTTTTAAAGAATTATTTTACTTTATAGTTGTGTGTGTTTTGCCTGCATGTATGTCTTTGCATCACATGTATGACTGTTCCTCTTGAAGGCCAGGAGAGGGTATTTGATCCCCCAGAACTGGAGTTATAGATGGTTGTGAGGCACCATGTCAATGATAGGAATTGAACCTGGATCTCTACAAAAACAACAAATACTCTCTAAACCACTGACCCATCTCTCCAGCCCCGTGTATATTTATTTTTAAATGTCACATAAGGAAATCAATAATACTTAGTTTACTACGTTTTGCTATTGTTGCTTTTTGAGACAGGGTTCTGAACCCATGATCCTCTGACATCAGCCTCCTCGAATGCTGGTATCATTGGTGTGAACTTCTCCTCCTGGTTCTATGCACAGCTGTGAACATTGCTTTATTGGGTTTCAGTACTTCAGCATTTTCATTCTGAAATGCTTATTATTTTACAAAAAACTCATCTTTTTTGGTGGTTTTAATACTGAAGATTGAACTCATGGTCTTGTGCTCTATCGCTGGGTAACATTTTCAAACCTTTTATTATTTTTGAGACAGGGTCTCACTAAGATGTGTAGGCTATCTTTGAACTTCTGATTCTCCTGCTATAGCCTCTATAGTAGCTGGAATTAGAGGCATGTGTAAGACAAATCTTGTCCTTTCCTTTTTCTTTCTGACTGACCTGATTGGTACTTGCTATGTAGACCACACTGGCCTCTGCTTCCAAGTACTAGGCTTAAACATATGTGCCACCAAAAAATAAAAATAAAAAAAGATATGTGCCACCATGCTTGTCCTTTCTTTTGTCTTTTAATTATATTTTCTTTTAAAGAACATTTTTAACTATGCTTGTGCGTGTTTTTGTGTACATCTGAGGTTTTATACTCCACGCGAACCTGGGTAACAGGCTGGTTACCGATATGGATTCTGGGAATTGAACTTGGGACTTCTGAAAGAACAACATAAGAAACCGTGCTCAGAGGAATAAAGGAGACCAGAAAAAGCAGTTACAGGGAAGGGGCGTTCCCGTCAGAGCAGGCCCCGCCCCCGGCCTCGGGCACGCCGCCCGCCACACTCAACATGGCGGCCACGCTGGTCCACTAGTGCGTCAAAGCGCGTCTCAGGAGCCGAGCTCCGCTCCAATCATGGCGGCTCCGCAACCGGCGGCGGCTGCGCCGAGCGGACTTTTGGAGACATGTGGTCTGGAACCGATTCTGGAAGCGCTGAAGCTGCTGCTGAGCCCGGGAGGTGAGAGGACGAATCTTGGCACGAGGCTCGCCCTGAGGCTCGCGGGGCCGCGGGAGACGTCTCCTAGGCTTGCCCTGGCTGCCACAGCATGCTCCCCTCAGGCCCTCCCGGGTTCTCAGTCCCACTCCTGGGGCCGTTTGGGCCCTGTCCAGTCTCACTTAGAACTTAAGCAAACTAAAGCTCCGGAGGGCCGGCGATCCGGCCGAGGTCCATCGCTCGCCTCACTGTTGGCTCCAGCCCCGCTCAGAAGCGGGGACTGTCGCGACACCTTCACACAGGTGTAATGTGAGGTCTCAGTCGCCAGAGGGCTCTGGGCACGCTCGAGATCTGTGCAAAATGCCAAGTGAACCAGAGATGCGGAGCAGGGGCGTTTTTGGCTGAGTTTGAGGAAGATGTTTAGGGGTTTCCATTCTGGTATCAGGGATGTGTTGGGTTGACCCGTCCCAATTTAGAATCTGAAGGCACCTAGGGAATGGTGAAGCCTTGCGCTGCCCTTTCCTGTCGCGTCCCAGTTTGTGGTGGTTCGACTGCCTCTGCCTCTCAAGTGCTGGGGCTAGGCAGGCATCACCATGCATCATTTTTGTTTGTTTTGGTTTGGTTTTCTTTCTTTTAGACAGGGTACCAACCTCTAGTCAAGGCTGCCCAGGACCTCACGCCCCAAATCACGTGGTCATGTTAGTGGACCAACCTTGGACCTAGAACACAGTTCTGCCCAATCTCCTTCTCGGACTACGGCAAATTATTCAGAATAGAGCGTCCGGTGCTATCTGGAAATGTAGGGAAGCGGGGAAGAAATAAGGCCCTATTTACAAATACAGTATGTGTGGGCGGGGAGGTCGAACTGTCAAGGTAAAGGCGATCAGGTGAATGCTCTCCGCTTCAAAAGGCGATCCCAAACGTTACACTGGACTAGAGGAAAGTGAAAAGAAGTTAGTCCAGATGAAAGCCTACTAAGTGGCAGTCCCACAGTGTTCCGTTTAAGTGATATCCTTTAGTCTCCCGACATAGGAAGTGTTCGCGTTCGTTTTTGCAGAGGAAGGCTTAGGTACATTGGGAATTGCCCAGAGTAAAACGAGTAAGTGCAGTTTCCTTCACTAGAAGCATGATGAATATACTATATTGCCTAAAGTAAGAGTCTATGGCAGCTGGGCAGTGGTGTCCCAGCATTCTGGAGGCAGAGGAAGAAGAATCTGTGGGTTTGAGTCCAGCCTGGTCTACAAAGTGAGTTAGTTCTAGGACAGCCAGGGCTACACAGAGAAATTCTGTCTTGAAAAGAAACAACAAACAAAAAGAGTCAATGTCAAAATATAGATGTTATTATTTATTTGTCCTACGAATATGTGTGTGTACCTATTTCTATGAGTGTGTTTGTGTGCGCCATATGCATGTAGGAGCCTACAGAGGCCCTAAGAGGGGGTCGGATTACCTGGAACTGGAGTTACAGGCAGTTGTGAGCTGTCACATGGGTACTGGAACCTGAACCCCAGTTCTCTCAAGAGCAGTCAGTGGTCTTAACCAACAACCATCCCTCCAACTCCCATATTAAAAGAAAAGAAGAGGCAGGTGGATCTCTGTGAGTTCGAAGACAGCCTGGTCTACAAGAGCTAGTTCCAGGGCAGGTTCCAAAGCTACAGAGAAAACCTGTCTTGAAAAACAAAAAACAAAAAAAACAAAACAAAAAAAAAATTTACAACCCGGTGGTGGTGGTGGCGCACGCCTTTAATCCCAGCACTCGGAAGGCAGAGGCAGGTGGATCTCTGTGAGTTGGAGGCCAGCCTGGTCTACAAGAGCTAGTTCCAGGACAGGCTCCAAAAGCTACAGAGAAACCCTGTCTCGAAAAACCAAGAAAAAAAATTATTTTTATGTATACAGTGTTTTCTGCCTGCATGTATGCCTGGGCACCAAAAGAGGGCACCAGATCTTATTACAGATGGTTGTGAGCCACCATGTCGTTGCTGGGAATTGAACTCAGGTCCTCTGGGAGAGCAGCCAGTGCACTTAACCCCTGAGCCATCTTTCCAGCCCCAAATAAATAAATCTTTTAAAAATATTTATTTTATTTTTATTTATGTGTATGTGTATACCTGTGTGTATATGCATGTGTGTAATGCCCATGAAGACCAGAAGAGGGCATTAGATCCCTTGGAAATGGAGTCACATGAGGCAATGAACTTCTTAAAGTGGGTCCTGGGAACCCAATTTCGGGTCTCTGAAAGAGCGTATAGTACTCTCAGCCGCTGAACATTATCTTCATACCTCTAAAATTATCCTATGTCGTATATGTATGTACTGTGTGAATCAGGATGCTGCTTTTCTCTTTTCATTTTTAATTTTTTTTTTTTTTTTTTTTTTTTTTTTTTTGGTTTTTCGAGACAGGGTTTCTCTGTGGTTTTGGAGCCTGTCCTGGAACTAGCTCTTGTAGACCAGGCTGGTCTCGAACTCACAGAGATCCGCCTGCCTCTGCCTCCCAAGTGCTGGGATTAAAGGCGTGCGCCACCACCGCCCGGCTTTTAATTTTTTTTTTAAATAACTTTTTAAAAGTTTTTTTAAGGTGTGCACTGTCACTGCCTGGCTTTTTTTTTTTTTTAAATCCCAAACTGACTTTTTTTATTCTGTTTGGTTTTGGTTCTGGGCATCAAATCTCAGGTCTGTACTTGCACCTGCTCTACCAGTTTAGTTTACTGCTGCAATGCATGCGTGCGTACATGCGTGTGTATGTGTGTATTTGAGGCAGGGTCTAGCTATGTGCCCTTGGCACCTGCTGTATAGAACATGTTGGCCTCAGACTTTGGGGATTTGCCTGCTTCTGCCCCCAAGTTCTCAGATTGCAATGCTGTGCCACTCACCCGCCTCTTGTTTTGGTGAGGGTAGATTTTGGGGGGTGGATGGGGCAGGTCTTATTCTTTTGCTAAAAGCTATCCTAAAATTTACTGTGCAGACTAGGCTGGCCTCGACTTGAAACAATCTTTCTGCCTCTTCCTTCCAAGTGTTACAGTAACAGATGTACATCTCTAGTTTACCTTGTAAGGACATGTTAAAGGAGAAATAACAGGGAGAGCAGCATTATTTTACATGTTTAAATCTCTTTTTGTGTGTGATGCTGGAGACAAAACTTGGGACCTGACATGTGTACCTCTGTAGATCCCCAACCCTGTCTCAGTGTTTCTGTACTAGTCAGTTTTCAGTTATCTGTCTGTCTGTCTGTCTGTCTCCCTCCCTCTCTCCCTCCCTCCCTCCCTCCTTCCCTCCCTCCCTCCCTCCCTCTAACTTGATACAAGCTAAAAGGGAACCTCAATGAGAAAATGCCTCCATTAGATTGACCTGTAGGCTTGTCTGTGGTGCATTTTCTTCATTAATGATTGATGTGGGAGGTCACACTGTAGGCGGTGCCACCCCTGGGCAGCTGGTCCATGGTTGTATAAAAAGTAAGGTGGGCAGACCGTGGGGAGCAAGCCAGTAAGCAGCAGTTCTCTATGACTTTTTTTTTTTTTTTTTTTTTTTTTTTTTTTTGGTTTTTCGAGACAGGGTTTCTCTGTGGTTTTTGAGCCTGTCCTGGAACTAGCTCTTGTAGACCAGGCTGGGCTCGAACTCACAGAGATCCGCCTGCCTCTGTCTCCCAAGTGCTGGGATTAAAGGCGTGCGCCACCACTGCCCGGCCCTCTCCATGGCTTTTGCTTCAATTCTTGTCACGAGTTTTTGCCTTGGTATCCCTAGATGATGAACTTTAACCTGTAAGCCAAAAAAAAAAAAAAAAAACAAAAAACAAAAAACAAAAAAAACCCTTCCTCCCCAAGTTGCTTTTGGTCATGGTGTTTATCACAACAATCAAACTAGGAATTCTTTTGTCCTTGACACATCTCGGCAACCAGGGTCCTTTATGCCATATTTTAGGAAATGCTTTAGTATCAGGCATGGCACATGCCTCTAATCCTAGCACTCGGGAGGCAGAGGCCAGGCCAAGTAGTGAGACTCTTAAAACCAAGCTGGGGAGGGAGGTGGGCTTTGCTGTTGAAAAAGAAGAGCCCACATATTCAGGTATGTTTTACTCATTTTTACCAGTAGAGGGCAGGGCTGACTGCTGTATCACAAGGCCAGGGCAGAACTCCACAAGCTCCTGCTTTAAATCACAGCTTTGTACTTCACGCCTGGCCACAGAAATCGTGTACCATAGGGAGTCACGGAGAGATTGACTGCTGACCTGAATGTTGGTTAGTGGCTACAGGCTCACGTTTCCTGATAGGTGTACATTTGCTGAAGGAACCTCATTTCAATGCTACTTGGCCCGGGCAGCCCTAGTTTTATAATCTTTAAATACTTTTTTATGTACAGAAGTAATGTGATTTACTATAGAAAAATTTAAATGTAGGGGCTGGAGAGATGGCTCAGTGGTTAAGAGCATTGCCTGCTCTTCCAAAGGTCCTGAGTTAGATTCCTGGCAACCACATGGTGGCTCACAACCATCTGTAATGAGTTCTAATACCCTCTTCTGGCCTGCAGACATACACACAGACAGAATATTGTATCCATAATGAATAAATAAATAAATATTTAAAAAAAATTTAAGTGTAATAAAAAAAGACCCTACTGGGCAGATTGGCTCATTTAGTAATGTGCTTGCTATTGAAAGACCCTCAGAGTGGTCCTTCCCTCAGGAGGAGACCCCTAACCCAAGGAAGAGTCGAGACCACTGGCTGCAATGGCAAGAGGTTATTTATTGAGCGAGGCACAGGTACCTGCAGGTGTCAGAGTCTCTTTGGAAGACTTGCACGCCCTCAGGCTGGGCAGGGGGTCTTTTATATGGAAATGGGGCGGGCGGAGCAGGCTACAGAAGTAGAAGCATGGTTACAGGAATCCCATTGGTCAGTTCAGATGGGGCAATGGGTTCACTTGGGGACAAGCTTCTTGGGGACATGAAGATATGATAATAGCTGACTTGGCTCTATCTAGGGCACATGTAGTTTTTCCCAGAACTGTCCGTTCCCCTCCTAGGCCTGGTGTCTGACCATAGATATCCTGTTTTGGCCGCCTAGGAGTACTGACTTTACCTTGAACTTACACTTGTTTGTGTGAAAGCCTTGCAAAATGGCACTACAGCAGCTAAGCTGGGGTCTGTCACTATGTAAGCATGAGGACCTGAGTTTGGGTCCCCAGCACTCATGTAAAAAAAAGCCGAGGGCAGCAGTTTGTACCTGTAATCTTAGTACCAGGGAAGCAGAGACAGTTATACTGATTCTCATATTCATATTCCCAAACCCATCCATAGGTCTCATTGATAGCCCAGGTTAGCTCCTGCTTCATGATAACCTTCCAGTGTTATCCTATAGTCTCCCAAATGCTAGGACCACAGATATAAACCACTTCATCCAGTTGTTTCTCACTATTCTTTTTTTGTATATTTATTTTTTTATTTATGTATACAATATTCTGTGTGTGTATGCCTGCAGGCCAGAAGAGGGCACCAGACACCATTACAGATGGTTGTGAGCCATCATGTGGTTGATTTATTCATTTACATGTAAGTTTGTATGTGTTGTGTGTGTGTGTGTGTGTGTGTATACTGAAGCAAGACGAGGGCTTCAGGTCATCCTCTATCTCTCTCTGCTTTTTCTTTTGAGGCAAGGTCTCTTTCGGATTTTAGGGCTCATTTAGGGCTGAAGCCGGTGAGCTCTGGGAATCCTCCTGTTTCCACCCAATTTAGAACTAGGGTGACAGGCATAGGCCACACGCCTGGGCTCGTTACATGTGTGTTGGGATGCAAACACAGGTCCTCAAGATTGTGTACTCAGAAGATACTCTTTACTACTGAGCCATCTCTCCAGCCCTGTCTTATTACTCTGAAGAACAACGTTGTAACTGTTTCTCTTTTACTTATTTTATTATTATTATTATTATTATTATTATTATTATTTTGTTTTTTTGTTTTTCGAGACAGAGTTTCTCTGTGTAACAGTCCTGGCTGTTCTAGAACTCGCTTTGTCGATTAGGGTGACCTCAAACTCACTAAGATTTGCCTGCCTCTTCCTCCCAAGTGCTGGGATTAAAGACATGCACCACCACTGCCCAGCCCTGTTCTTTTTTATAAGAGCATTTGGTCTTTACTATATATAAAGGGTAGACAAAAGGAGGGAAACTGATGGAAGAAGGTCATTGGCTAATAAAGGAACTGCCTTGGCCCATTTTATTGGTTAGGACATAGGTAGGGTAGGTGGAGTAAACAGAACAAAACGTTGGGAGGAAGAGGAAGTGAGCTCAGACTCCACAGCTCTGCTCTCCGGAGCAGATGCCTGAGAGAGACGCCATGCCCTGCTCCCGGGATGAAGCTCCGACCCAGGATGGACTAGGCTAGAATCTCCCCGGTAAGCGCACCTTGGGGTGCTACACACAGATGATTAGAAATGGGCTAAATTAATATGTGAGAATTAGCCTAGAAGAGAATGGGCCAAGCAGTGATTAAATGAATATAGTTTGTGTGTTGTTATTTTGGGGCATAAGCTAAGCTAGCCGTGCGGGCGGCTGGGGTGCTGGGGACGCAGCCCCGCCGCCCCTATTATTACAGGAAACTGAAAGAAGAAAATAAAAAAGTACTTTAATCTCATTACCTGGCTGTTACCATTACCAGAATTCTGGGAAATACTGTTTTTACTTTCTATGGAAATGAACTTATATATATAATACATAGTTTTATAACCTTTAAATAACTTATGTACAGAAGCAGTGTGACTTACTACAGAAAAATTTAAATGTAATTAAGTGAGAAAAAGAAAAGCTCTGGGCAGATGACTCATTTAGTAATGTGCTTGCTGTGCAAATGAGTTTGGGTCCCCAGCACCCATGTAAAAGCTGGGAGCAGCAGTTTGGGTTGGTGGTGCATGTCTTTAATCCTACACTTGGGAGGCAGAGACAGGTGGGTCTCTGTGAGTTCGATACTAGCCTGGTCTACAGGACCACCAAGACTACACAGAGAAACCCTATCTCTGGGGGGAAAAAAGCTGAGGGCAGCAGTAGTTTGAGCTGTAATCTCAGCATCAGGAGACGGAAAGAAAGAAAGGGATCCTCAGGGCTCTCTGGCTAGCCAGTCTAGCCAAATTGGTGAGCTTTAGGTTCATAGAGAGACCCTGTTTCAAAAAATAAGTTAGAGCGATTGAGGAAGACAACTGATACTGAATTCCAGCCTTCACACACAGATGCTTGTGTACCCACACACACATGTATACACACACATTAAAAAAAGAAGAAAGTAAGAAGAAAAACACAGGAAACCCTAGCATCTAGAGAATACCGTTTATGTGTGTGACTGTGAGCATGTGTGTGTGTGTGAGCGCATATGCACGTTTCTCTCTCCCTCTGTGTGAGTGTTCATGCATCTCTCTCTCTCTCTCTCTCTCTCTCTCTCTCTCTCTGTGTGTGTGTGTGTGTGTGTGTGTGTGTGTGTGTGTGTGTATGGTTTTTAAGCCATCCCAGGCTGGCCTGATACTCAAGATCTTCCTGCCCCTGCTTCCCAAACACTCTGATATATTTGATTACAGTTTCGGGTCACAGAGAAAGAGGAAACTGAGAACTTTTCCGTGTGCTCGCTCTATTATCCACTGGAATCCCCGTTCCCCTCTTATTAACATGCCTTAATGTGGTACATTTGTTACAGGTGGTGAGCAGTGTTCAAACACTGTTATTAACCTAAGTCCATGGTTTACATGGTTGCATTAGTTTTCCTGATATGTAGTTTGGATAAATTTATAATACCATGCATCTACCATAGATTAAATTTTTTTATTTTATTACTGTGTAGGCGTGTATGCTTGTGTTGGTGTGGGCATACACATGCCATAGCATGGATGTGGAGGTCAGAGGACAATTTTCAGAAGTCAGTTCTTCTCTTTGACCATATGGGCTCTGGGATGGAACTCAACTTGGCACGTGCTCTACCCACTGAGCCATTGTGATGGCCCATAGATTTTTTTTTCTTTTTAAGGTTTGAGGTTAGGAGTGCAGCTCAGCTCAGTCGCATAGCACCGCAGAAAGACTCCCCCACAAAAGCATTTTCCAGCTGCCTAACAATCTCATCCACAGCACCCCAACTTTTCCCTTTTTCATGGGCCATCTCCTGGTTGGATTGGGCAGTGTGTCCCATACAGAAGAAAATCTCATTTGTTTTCTTGGTTCATTATTTCCCCTTTTTTTCTCCTTCAAAAGGATCGGGCTTAAGTTCACTACAGAACACAAAGCATGATGTCTTGCTGGAGACCCTAAAATCTAACCTGTCTGTGCTGGAGGCCAGGTTTCTAAAGGATGCTCAGTGGAAGAAGCTGAAAGTCCTAAGAGATGAAACTGCTGGTAAGGCCAAGTGGCTGCAGAGCTCCGAAGATATCACCTGGAGTTTCACCTCTCAGACTCTGCTGCTGCTGCTGTGTTTGAAGGAAACCATGACCCGCCTTGTAGCTGATTTTAGTCCAGGTACACCCAACCCCAAGACTCCCGAAGCTGCTCCCGCCCTCAGCCCGGATACACTAAGCGTCTCCCAACAGAAGACCGTCCAGTCGGTTCTGCAGTTTGTAGTCACCTTGGGTGTCTGCCCCTACCTCCTGCCTGGTGTGGGAGTCCCTCTGAAACACAGGACTGAGTTTGGAGCTGTTGTTCAAGACGTAGTACGTCCAGAGGCTGCCCCCCATGCCACCCGGAGACTGTACACCTGCTGCAGGGTCCTCCTAGATCTGGCTCAGCATGCATCTCTGGGGAGCCTGATTTTCTGCCGCCATTTTGGGGATATTGCAGCAGGTCTGTGCCAGCTGGGGTTCTGCCCAACCAAAAGAAAACCACCAGCCCCCGTGGAAGAGGTAAATTTTTGTACAGAGAGAAGAGAGATTATGACCGATAGCGTGTGTACTTGCGTAAGATCTGAATACATTTCTTAGTTGTTTAGAACGTGCTGATTGAAGGATCTAGAATCCCTTCCTCCCTCCTCCTCCTCCTTCTGGTTTTTGAGACAGGGTTTCTCTGTGTAACTCTGGCTGTCTTGGAACTCACTCTGTAGACCTCAAACTCAAGAGACCCACCTACCTCTGCCTTCCAAGTGCTGAGATTAAAGGTGTGCACCACCTTGCCCACTAAGATCTAGAATTTCTATCTAATGCCAAAGCACAGTCCACTGTGGGCTGCATCATCACTGGGCAGGTGGTCCAGGGCTGTAAACAAAAGCTAGCTGAGCATAGAACCAGAGAGCTAGCCAATAAACACGTTCTTCCATGATTTCTGCTTTAGTTCCTGCCCTGACTTCCCTTAATGATGAACAGTGACTTGGAAATGTTAGCCTTAGAATAAGCTCTTTCCACCCCAGCTTGGTTTTGGTCAGTGTTTTATCAAATTAACAGAAAACAAACTAGAATAGACATGGATAACATACAATAATTGAGGAGATAAGATTTACAAATAGGAAACCATTGTGTCTTCACTTCGTGGACCAGTCTCAGGAGCTAGCCAGAGAAACATCCATTAAAATATAAATGGGTCAAGGTCACACGGGTGAGCAAATGCCCTAGTGCTGCTTCATTAAGCTGTCGCTTCTCTTACCTGCTGGGGTCACGCTTGTGCTTCTTCCTTGGTATTCATCACAGCTGTAGTAACCCTAACACACCATTTCCCGTGTATTTACCTAAAAGCCACTATGTCCAAGCAGTGTCACTAAACAGTGTCCAAACCAGAACACCTGCTTTTTACTTCAGGGTAAAGCACTGGCAGAACCAGCAGTGCCTATAGCCTGCAGTCGGCATCTCTTCATTGTTTTTGAGGCCCTTCAGTGTCCCAAGGGTCTCAGGCAAGACGGAGAAAAAGGGCAAACATACTGAAAGAACACAGTATGAAGGCTGGCTCAGGAGTTGTCAAGCTGCTCTGTGTAGCACCCACATTTCAGTGTATTACATGGTAATTAGCAGGCAGGACCCTGATGGACTGTGAGTGGCAATCACCTAAGGGGATGGTACTGTTGGCATTAGAAGTACACAAAGCGACCTTCATCCCTCTTTGATAGTTAAGTTCTGAATGCAAGAAAAAAAAAAAAACAGTTACCAGAGTAAGAGATGAAAAGTCAAAATATGGGGGTTGCAAGATGGCTCATCGGGTAGAGTTGTTTACCATGTATACCCGGTGACCTGAGTTTAATCCCCAGAACCCACATAAAGGTGCAGGGAGAGAACCAATTCCACAGTGAAGTAAAAATATCACTACTGTTGTTCATAAACACAAAGGTGGAGATCTCTCTCTCCCTCTCCCCCCCCCCTCCTGAGCACTGGGATCAAAGGTGTGTACCACCACCTGGCTACTTGTGCCGGTGTGGAGAGATCTTTTAAACAAAGATGGAGCTCTATTAGTGCAGTCCAGTTAGACAGACTTACTGCTCATGCAGTCTCAGGAGCCCTGGAAAACTGGCGCCATCTGCCCTGTGGCAGGGGGTGTACACTGCTCTGCTCACTCCCATGGAGAGAAGAGAGAGGAGCAGCAAGCAGGTGCACTCCACAGTTGCAGCAGGTAAGCACACCCCTGCCCAGAACAGAGCAGCTGAGAGATGGAGAGTGGACCTGAAGTGTTGCCGAGCACAGCCTCCTCAGTGCAGAAGGGACTAAGAGGGAACACCTTCCTCCTGTCCCCTCTTGAGTTTTAGTAAACCTTACCTTCTGTTTTCTGCCTGGTCTGTATTTCACTAAAGCCAAGTGCACATGTCTTTTAGGTTTTAACGGAAGAGGAAAGAGTCCTATCGAGGGGAGCCTTGAGAGACATCTTGGATCAAGTCTACCAACCATTAGCTGTCCGGGAATTACTTATTCTCCAGGGAGGACCACCCCAGGTATTCAGGCCTCAGACTTGGTGGGAGCTGATGTGTCTTCTTTGCCTGGAAAGTTAGCTGACTTTAGTTTCCTATAAAATCATCTAGTTGAGCCTTACTTCTTTAATAATAATTATTATTATTTTATAGATAGAGTTTCACTATGTAACCCTGATTGGCCTGGAACTCTCACAAAGGTCTGCCTGCCTTTACTTACCAAGTGGTAGGATTAGAGAGGCATGTACCACCATACAAGGCCTATATTTTGCATTTTATTTTATTTGTATGGGTATTTTGCCTGCATGCTAGTGCCCATGGAGGCCAGAAGAGGGTGTCAGATCTCCTGCAGTTAAACTGGTTAAAGGTGGTTGTGAATGGCCATGTGGGTGCTAGGAATCAAACCTGTGTCATTTGGAACAGCAGCCAGTGCTCTGAACTGCTGAGCCATCTCTCCAGATCCTTTTTAGTGTAATCCAGGCTGCTCTAGAATTCATACTGCTTCAGCCTCCTAAAGTAGAGATTGTAGCCATAAGCAACTATGCCCTTCTCTTATTTTAGCTTTTAGATAATTAAGTGGTATTTATAAAATAAAGTGTCATTAACTTTCAGGATAATTTAAAAGACCTTTTGTTAATGGAATAGTGGATACTTTCCCAAGATCATGTTCACTTTTTAAAGGCTATGACAATTTAATGTGAACACACACACAGAGATATAGTGCCACACACACACACATTTCCCAAGACAGGGTTTCTCTGTGGCTTTGGAGCTTGTCCTGGAACTCCCTTTGTAGACCAGGCTGGCCTCAAACTCACAGAGATCCACCTGCCTCTGCCTCCCGAGTGCTGGCATTTAAGGTGTGCACCACCACCACCTGCCATCACATATATTTTTTGTTTTGTTTTTGAGACAGGGTCTTCTGTGTAGCCCAGGCTAGTTTGAATTTGTGTTCTTCCTGCCTTCTAGCTTCTGAGTGCTAGATTCTAAGTGTGCATACTATGTATGCCTCATAAAAAATATAAACATAGCCGGGCAGTGGTGGCGCACGCCTTTAATCCCAGCACTCGGGAGGCAGAGGCAGGCGGATCTCTGGGAGTTCGAGGCCAGCCTGGTCTACAAGAGCTAGTTCCAGGACAGGCTCCAAAGCTACAGAGAAACCCTGTCTCGAAAAACTAAAAAATAAATAAATAAATAAAAATATTTATTTTATTTGAGGAGTGTGAATGTTTTGCCTGCATGTGCACCAGGTCAGAAAAGGGGCTTAGATTTCCTGGAACTGGAGTTGTAGATGGTTATGAGCCACCATGAAGATGCTGGGAATTGAACCCAGGTCCCCTGCTAAGAGCAATTAATGTTCCTAGTCATTGAACTACCTTTCCAGCCTATATATTTGTTTTGAGACAGAGTATCACTCTACAGTTCAAGCTGGTTACTCACTATGTGGCACAGGCTCTCCTCTTGCCTCAGCATCCTAAGTACCAGGAGCCACTCTGCCTAGCTTTGGGTCTTTTTAATTTGTGATGCTGGAGATGGAACCCAGGACCTTATACATGTTAGGTAAGCAGTCTATGCTGGGTGGTGGTGGTGGCACACCTTTAATCCCAGCACTTGGGAGATAGAGACTGGCAGATCTCTGAGTTTGAGACCAGCCTGGTCTATAGAGCAAGTGACAGGACAGCCAGGGCTATGCAGAGAAACCCTGTCTTAAAATATTCAAAATCAGTCTACCACTGAGTTGTATCTTCAGCCTCTGTATTAATTTTCTAAAATTATTAGTGTTGGGGAGGATGTACATGCCAGATCATGGATGCCACAGGGTGCATGTGGAGGGAGGTAAGTACTCTCTTACCATATGGGTTCAGGGAATCAAACTCAGGTCATTAGACCTGGGTGCCAAGTGCCTTTATCCATTAGCCATCCTTCTGTTCTCTAGATTTTTGTTTTTAAACTAACAATTGGCTATTGGGCAATTTTTTTTTTTTTGCTTGTTTTCTTGTTTTTCGAGACAGGGTTTCTCTGTGTCTCTTTATTACCTGCCTGGAACTAGCTCTTGTAGACCAGGCTGGCCTCGAACTCACAGCAATCCTCCTGCCCTTGCCTCCCAAGTGCTGAGATTAAAGGCATGTGCCACCACCACCCGGCTGGACAATGTATTTTTTTGACAGAAGTATTTGGGCTCCTTCTGTTTTGAATGAAATAATCTGAGCTGAAGAAATTTAAATTAGAGCTATTACTATTTATAGTCTCATTCTAAATATATTGTTGGCATAAAGATAGCTTTTTTTTTTTTCTTTTGAGAGAGAGTTTTGCTAACTTACTGGGCTGGTCTTAAATCAGGTCTGTAGCCCAGATAGGCCTTGATCTTGGGAATCCTCCTGCTTCAGCTTCCCAAGTATCTAGGATTATAGGCCTACACCATTAGGCCAGTTTAATTTATTTTTCTCTCAAAAGTAATTATTGGAGAGAGTGGGCATGGTGGGCACGGTGGGCACGGTGATGTATGCTTTTAATTCCAGCACTTAAGGCTCTCTTGTGAGTTTAAGGACAGTCTGGTCTACAAAGTGAATTCCAGGCCATCTAGGGTTACGTAGAGAAACCTTGTCTCAAGGGAAAAGAAATTTTGGTGATGGACACCTTTAATCCCACTTTGGAGGCAGAGACAGGCAGAGCTTTGTGAAATTGAGAGCCTCTTGGTCTATCTGCTAAGTTCCAGGTCAGCCAGAGGTATTTAGTGAGTCCTTGTTTTTAAAAAGGCAAAAATATGATTGGGACTAGAGAGATGGCTTATCAGTTCAGAAGAAATGCTGCTGAATCATGGGGATCCAAGTTTGCATCCCAGGGCCCATATCGGGCAGCTCACAAATGCCTGTAACTCTAGTTCCAAGGGATGAGAGAGAGAGAGAGAGAGAGAGAATAAACAAATCAAAAATGTAATACTGAAGAAGGTTTTGTAAAAGAGAAAGTTCTTGCTTATATTGAAAAGAAACTGAAAGACTGGGGAGGGCTTGTCTACTGTGCACAAGGCCCTGGGTTCATTTACTAGAACTGAATGGAGAGAGGGTAGGGGGAGTATCTCTCTCTCTCTCTCTCTCTCTCTCTCTCTCTCTCTCTCTGTTATCAAATTTAGGTTCTTGCACATACTAAACATATGAGCTACCTTCCCAACACAAAAATAAAAAAATGGTGTGTTCATACTGTGTATGTTTCACTGATGCTCGGCTTATAGCTCTTCCTCCCCTTTTCTCAGTCCTGTACAGATGTAAAGACACAGCTTAGGTGTCAGGCCCCAGCCTGGCTTCGGCGTCTGTGTGGGCAGTTGCTTTCTGAAAGGTTGATGAGACCCAACGGCGTTCAGGCAGTAGTCCGGGGCATTTTGGAAGGAGCAGGTGGTAAGAAATAATATATTTCTGTTACTGTGGTATATGTTTCCCTTTGAGTCAGAAGTGAATCGCTGCCTTTGCCTTAAATCTCATTGTGTGAAGGTGTAGCTCGACCTACTCCTTGTACCTAGCATGTGGCAGGCACTGAGTGCAGCCCTAGTAGATTCTGCTGAACGACACATAGAATGAAGGACTGCTCTAAGGATACTAGGTCCCCAAGTCAGGTGTCTTGTTGGTACATGCTATGACCTCAGCACTCAGGAGTACTGAGACAAAGGTCCTGAAGAGATGGCTCAGTGGTTAAAAGCACTGGCTGTTCTTGTCCAGAAAGAACCTAGGTTCAGCTCCCAGCACCCTCATGGTGGCTCACAACCATCCGTAACTCCAGTTCCAGAGGATCTGATGCCCTCTTTTAGCCTCTTCAGTGTATATACATCATGCAAGCAAAACAATCAAGCAAGTGATAGAACATAAATAAATCTTTGAAAAAACAAACTTCAATACATATTTCCTTCTGCCTCAACGTCAAAAAAAATTGCTTTAAGCCATTTGTGATGGCCCACAGCTTTAATCCTCGCACTCGGGAGGCAGAGACAGGCGGATCTCTGTGAGTTTGAAGCTAGCCTGGTCTACAAGAGCTAGTTTTAAGACAGGCCCCAAAACTACAGAGAAACCCTGTCTCAAAAAATCAAAAACCAAACCAAACTAACCAACCAACTAAACAAAAAACAAAAAATTGCCTCTTAAAAGCTCTATTAGCAATGAATTCTTTTTTTTCTATGTAGCCCTAGCTGGCCTGGAACTCTTTATGTAGACCAGGCTAGCCTTAAATTTGTGACATATCTTACTACACCTTGGCTTTTTTTCTTTTAGAGACAGAGTTTTGCATAGACATGACTACCCTGAAACTTACTTTGTAGATCAGTTTGGTCTCAAGCTTGCCTTAGTCCTGTCTTAACTTCCCAAGGAGAGATTGCAGGCATGCACCACCACACCCAGCTCAAATTTAGTTTCAATAGGTGTTCGAAGAGATTAAGAGAGAGTAATGGGAACATTTTGATCAAAGAATATTTTATATATTTGTGAAATTATAAAAGAATAAATAAAATATTAAAAAAGAGTGTTTTCAGTAGAGAAAAAGAAGCATTTCTTTTTTTTTAAGTTATAAATTGATTGGCCTAGTAGCTCAGACTTCTTATTAACTCTTATAACTTATATTAGTTGTTGTTCTTGTCTATGTTAGCCACATGGCTCAGTACCTTATTCAGCGAGTCACATCTTGAAGCATTTCTTATCCCAGATTCAGGCAGATTTATCACATACACTTTATATGGGGACGGCTGTGAGCATGTTCTTTCTGTGTGACAGCGGGTGCTGCTGGTGGGAGTGATGCCGAGGCCACAGCTGCTGACTGGAAGAAATGTGACTTGATTGCAAAGATTCTGGCCTCTTGTCCCCAGCAGTCTCTGTCCCCAGAGAGCTACTACAAGGACATCTGCCCTCAGGTAAATCATTTGTTTCTGTTGATCCATCAAGTATTGTCTGCTAATTCACATAGAGGACAGTTAATATTCTAAAAGTAAAGGACAGTTAATATTCTAAAAGTAAAGGAAGAGTGATATAGTATTTCATTTGGCTGTTTAGTGAGTGACTCTCTTTTTATGGTTTGTTTGTTTGAGACAGGGTTGCTGCAGTTCAGACTGGCCCAGAACTCAATATACAACCCAGGCTGGCAGTGATTCTCCTGCCTTAGCCTCCCTAGTGCTAGGGTTACAGTTGTGAGCTGCTGTGCTTGGTGGGGACCACCAGCACCTCCTCTTCCTATACACACACACATACGCCCACCCATGCCCATCCTGTCCTCTAGAGTTACAGGTATTTGCTGGTTTGTTGTCAGCTTAACACAAACCAGCATCACCTGAGAAGGGGAAGCCTCAACCTAAGAATTGCCTCCATCAGGCTGGCCTGTGGGCATATCCATGGGGCCTAATGATTGTTGTAGAAGGGCCCATCTCACTGTGGTGGTGCTACCCCTGAGTAGGTGGTCTTCAGTTGTATAAGAAAGCAGGTTGGGCCATAATTTCTGTTTCAGTTCCTGACTTGACTGCATCACCCGTGAACTATAAAGAAACCCTTTCCTGCATATGCCTTTAATCCCAGCACTAGGGAGGCAGAGGCAGGTGGATCTCTGTGACTTCGAGGCCAACCTGGTCTACAAGAGCTAGTTCATGGACAGGTTCCAGTGCTACAGAAAAACCCTGTCTTGAAAAAACAAAGAAAAACCAAACCAAACAAAAGCAAACCAAAAACCCTTTCCTTCCACAGGTTGCTCTTGGTCAGAGTCTTATTATAGCAACAATAAAAGGAACGAGAGAACCAGGTGGTGGTGGCGTACGCCTTTAATCCCAGCACTTGGGAGGCAGAGGATCTCTGTGAAACTCAGAGAAACCCTGTCTTGAAAAACAAAACAAACAACCCCCCCCCCAAAAAAACCAAAAACACAAAAAAACCCAAACTAGAACATCTTATTCAGTGGTTAAGAACATATGGAACCCAGGTTTAATTTTCAGCACCCACATAGGAACTAGCCTTTCAGAAGTCCAGTCCCAGAGGATCCGAGCTCCTCCTGGCCTCTATGGTACAGCATGTATGTGGTACACAGACACACGTGTACATAAAATACCCATACACATTCCAAAAAATATAAATACCTCTTTCTCTTATTTGCTGCTGATTTTTATTGTAGATTCTGGACTTATTCCATTTTCAAGATAAATTGACAGCACGGCAGTTTCAGAGAGTGGCCACGACCACCTTCATAACTATGTCGAGGGAACACCCAGAGCTGGCTCCGAAGTATTTGCTTCAGCCCATGCTAGCTCCTCTGCATCGGTGCTTGACCACAACAGGTAAGGGGGTGCTAGGGATACCCTCCCTACAGTTTAAACTTAAAGGGCTTAAGTCTGGGGTCTTTCAACAGGTAAGGGGGTGCTGGGGATACCCTCCCTACAGTTTAAACTTAAAGGGCTTAAGTCTGGGGTCTTTCAGTCCTCAGTTTTCCTTTTTCTCTCCTAGCTTTTCACTTGGAAACTTTACTTTCCCAAGTTCCAGGAAGAGAATATTGAGTCCCTGGGACACACTTCACCAGAGTCACCAACTGTTCCCATTTGGGTTACATTTGCTTCATTTCGCTCTACACACATGAATACAGTTAGTTTTTTATGGAACATTTGAGAGCTAGTTTGTAGATGTGATGACATATCACTCCTAAATCTTTCAGCATAAATCTTCGAAGAAAGATGTTAGTTTCTGTTTTTTTTTTTTTTTTTTAAAAAAAACCAAAAAACCACTGAATTTAAAAAAGGACCAGCCAGCTAGCTCAGTGGGTAAAGGAGCTTGCCACCAGGCCTGGCGTCTTGAGTTCAGTCTCCAGGACCCAACTGGTAGAAGAAGTTGTCCTCTGACCTCCACTTATGGGTTGTGGCAGGCAGGTGAGCACAGCTCGGGCGTACATACAAATAAGTAAAAGTGATTTTAAAGATTAAAGAAAACATCTGGGCAGTGGTGGAGCACACCTTTACTCCCAGCACTCGGGAGGCAGAGGCAGGCAGAGCTCTGTGAGTTCAAGACCAGCCTGTTCTACAGAATGAGTTCCAGGACAAACTTCAAAGATACACAGAGAACCCCTGTCCTTAAAAACAACAACAAATAATAATAATAATAATCAGCTTCTTACTTGACTATTGAACAGTGATCACACTTGAAAATTTTCCCATCCATACAAGGTTGTCAGGGCTTGTCCTGGACCTTGTTTTTTGTTTTTTTCTTTTATAGTTTATTTTTTTATTTTGTATTTTATGTACATTGGTGTTCTGCCATACGTCTGCCATATGTCTATGTGAGGGTGTCAGATCCCTTGAAACACATTTTCTTTTTCTTTTTGATAGGGGTGTGTTTTGAGACAGGGTTTCTCTGTGTAACAGCCCTGGCTGTTCTGGAACTTGCTTTGTATAACAAACTGGCCTCTAACTAACAGAGATCTGCCTGCCTCTGCCTCCCAAGTGGTGGAATTAAAGACATGCACCACTACCACCTAGCTGGGTTTTCCTTTTTTAAGACATTATTTTTTAAAGTACATAAGTATTTTTCCAGAATGTATGTCTGTGCACCACATACATGCAGTTCCTGAGGAGACCAGAAGAGGGCACCAGATCCCTGGACCTGGAATTATGGATAGTTGTGAGCCACCAAGTGAGTGTTGGGAACAACCTGGGTCCTCTGAAAAAGTAGCAAGTGCTCCTAACCAGTGATCCGTTCTCCACTCCAGTTTTTGGATTTTGGGAACAAGGTCATGCTTAAGAGCAATAGAGCACAGGACATGCTTGAACTTGGCTGTGCTGTCTCAGTTGGCTTTGCAGGTGCTGAGATGATAAGCATATGCCGCCATAGCCAGCTCTTCTAATACTCCATTAAAAAGACAAAAGTCAGCCGGGCGGTGGTGGCGCACGCCTTTAATCCCAGCACTCGGGAGGCAGAGGCAGGCGGATCTCTGTGAGTTCGAGGCCAGCCTGGTCTACAAGAGCTAGTTCCAGCACAGGAACCAAAAGCTACGGAGAAACCCTGTCTCAAAAAATCAAAAAAAAAAAAAAAAAAAAAAAAAAAAGACAAAAGTCCTCTGTTTTAGAATGCTTTTCCTGAAACAGGATCTGACATCATCAGAAGCTTCATAGATTCCATGGATATAAATGGCGTATTGTACAGTGGTAATGCTGATTTTCTGGTCTTACCTGGGCTCTCTTACTATAAAACTTTGTTAGTGTCTTCTGTTCAGAAAAGTGATGGAACTACTTTTGTTTGTTTTCAAAGAGATTCCAGAGAATAATATGGTGCCAGGAACTATTTTGGTGACTGAGGAAGAACTTAGTCGATGTATTGAAGATGTATTTAAGGTTGGTAATTCAAGTTGATGATGTTGCTAGTTAAATGTTCATACTTAGTGTTTGAAGACCTTTTGTTTTTGGAAACTCCTGACTTTGAACAATACCTCCTGCTAGCAACGATCTGCATCTGTAATTTTGCCTTTTAACAAGAATTTCAAGAGTTTGGATGAGTAGAGGCTGCTGGAGAAAGGGCTCAGCTGGTAAAAACATATGCTGTATACTGCTTTTACAGTTCAGTTCCCAGAACCTGTGTCAGTTGGTTCACAACTGCCTATAATTCTAGTCCCAGGAAATCCAGTACCTCTGAGCTCCTCAGGCACCTGAACATACCCACATACCAAGACACACACATACACATAATCAAAAATAATAAATCTAGCTGGGCAGTGGTGATGCATGCCTTTAATCCCAGCACTCTGGAGGCAGAGGCAGGCAGATTTCTGTGAGTTCAAGGCCAGCCTGGTCTACAAGAGCTAGTTCTAGGACAGGCTCAAAAAGAAACAAACAAAAAAAAAAAAACAAAAAACAAAAACAAAACAGAAAAAAAACAAACAGGGATGGCGGGATGGCTTTTGTTTTGTTTTAAATTTTACATATGGCGCTAATAAATTTGTAGATATAAAATGTGTGCTTAAAAATTAAAAAATCAGTTGTGCATGGTGGCTCACTTTAATTTACCCAGCCCTTTGGAAGCAGAGGCAGCCCAATCTCTGTGAATTCAAGGTCATCCTGGTCTGCTAAATGAATTCCAGCCCAGCCAGTGCTACACAGTGATCTCAAACCTACAACCCCAACCAAACCCAAAAACAAACAACAACAATGAAGACCCTTTCCACTAAGAAAGTCAGCCATCAGTTTTCTGTAGGTGCTGAGTCTGACCCACACTGCTGTGAAGTAGGGACATTGCAGACGGTAATTGCTCCCTGCAATTTTTGGCAGCCCAGCTGCAGTTGGAAGACAGAGGAAATGTGTATGCTGGAGGAAGATAGTAAACACTGTGTGGAATTTAGCAACAAAGGGAGTGTAATCTTTATTAACATTCTGCTAATACTAAATTATAGAGTAGAGTTTACACGCAGGAAATGAGGAAGACATCTGGAAAGCATGACTTGATCCAGCCACTTGATGGGTAACAAGAGGCTGTTTAGCTTCTAAGAGGCATCTGGGAACATTTCCAGCTGTTTTTTCTCTCCATTCCTTCTGCTCACAGATTTGCTGAGATAAAATCCACACAATGTACAGTGCACTCATTTAAAGTGTACAGTTCAGGCTTATGCACCCATGATCACAATGTAATTCTAGAAAATCTTTCCCCGAGAGAAGCCATTAGCTAGCATTCCTCACTCTCCACCCACCCTTTGCCCTAGGCAACCACTCTGTAGGTTCACCTAAAGAAAATCACACAGTACGTGCTCTCAGCACGATGTTTTTCCTCTGAGGCAGCATCTCACCTACATGCAGTCCAGGCTAGCCTTGACTTTATTGTGTCTTCTGACACCCTTATCTTGATCAGCCTTTCCTTTACCCTTTTGAAAATATAGAATACATTTTTTTACAGTAATTTCAGTGTCTATGGGTGTTTTGCCTGCACATGTCTGTGTACCACATGCATGCAGTGCCCTTGGAGGCCAGTAGAGGGCATCAGATTCCCTGGGTCTGGAATTAGGAATGGTTGCGAGTTGCCATGTGGGTTCCAGGAACTGAACTCAGGTGCTCTTCTCCCTTTGGGTAGTCAGTCTACTTTTGAGGGAATCAACCTCCTTTTGGAGGGGTCAATCCTATTGACTTCCTCCCCGCCACCCCCCAGACAGGGTTTCTCTGTGTTGCTTTGGAGACTGCCCTGGAACTCACTCTATAGACCAGGTTGGCCTCGAACTCGTAGAGATCCGCCTGCTTCTGCCTCCTGAGTATTGGGATTAAAGGTGTGTGCCATCACCGCCCAGCCCCTTGATTTCTTTTCTTTTCTTGCTTTTTTTTTTTTTTTTTTTTTTTTTGAGACAGGGTTTCTCTGTGTTGCCCAGCTGTCCTGGAACTCACTCTGTAGACCAGGCTGGGCTCAAATACGCCACCACTGCCCAGCTCTGATTGTGGCTTCTTCCTTCTTGCTTCCTTGCATGTCTACTGATTTTTGATGTGTTTTGAGATATTATTCCTGTCATGAAGTTCATTTTGGTTTGGTGGTGCTGCTGGGGCCGTGACTCAGGCTCTCAGGTGTACTAGCCCAGCTCTGTGCCTGAGCTTCCAGGACCAAGTGTCCCTTTGTCTCATTGGATAGCCCTTCATCCACCTGCCTCAGCCGTCCAAGTGCTGGAATTATAGACTGTGCCACCACATGTGGTGAATATGATTATTTAAGGCTTTCTGAAGGGGTCTGGCATGTCCCCCGAGACTGACCTTTTACACTGTGTTTAAAAGTCAGGGATTGCCTGCGTGTGTCCTCCTGAAAGCATTAACTGAGGCACTCTAGTCAGCCATACAGGCCAGGCAGCAGTGGCACACACTATTAATCCTAGTAGCCATACTAGTTAGCCGTAGAGGCCGGGCAATGGTGGTGCACGCCTTTAATCCTAGCACTAGAGAGGAATATAAGGCGGAATGAGACAGGAACTCACTCTCAGTGAGATTTCATAGAGGCAAGAGCTCCCTAGTGGCTGACTGCTTTGCTTTTCTGATCTTCAGGTTGAATCTCAATATCTGTCTCTGGGTTTTTATTATTTGTGCTACAATGTAGGTGCTAGATACTCACTTGTATTTCTTCTGAGGAATTCTCATTTCTATGTGCTTTGTGTCTTTCATCCTGCAATTATGTATCTCCAGAAAGGACTAAGGGGCAGCTCAAGTCACTTGTCAATTCACTCTCTACTGAGTTTCTGGGGACCAGGCCCCACAGGGCTTGCATTCTTTTGTGCTCCTGGCATAGTGATTTCCTGCTTTCTTTGCCTGGGAGGTGAACAGGCCCAGGTGTCTCGTTAGGACAGGAAACTCACTGTGCTTTGCTCTTCGCCCGTGTTCTGCTCTTTAGCAGACTGGCCACAACTCAGGGGAAAAGGGTTTTCTGAAGCATTAACTGTAGTGTTTCCCAAGGCTTCTGAAGAGCAGAAGAAATACTATGTAGGAAAGGCTAGAAGATAGTTAATTCATTTATTTTATATTTCCTCATTTCCATTTTATCTCTATTTCCAGATTCGGTGGATCTTAACTTTAATTATCCAAGTCGTTTCCCCATCAAATGCAGCGAATTCTAATTACAGTTGCTTTGTCAGATTGGGGGCATTTGACTCCTCTTTCTGAATTTTTAATTAGTCTTATAGAGAAAGTTGGGATAATAGAAACTTAGATGAGAAGGACCTTTAGAAAAAAATTTAGAATACCTATTTTTAAAAAATACAGACTTTATAATTGCTTCTTAGAATCTTTGGAGTCTAGCTTAAGGATTCCTAAAGTTTTGAAAATTCAGGATGCTTAAGTTGCATGTAAAAGAGTTTAGGATTTGCAGATAACCTAGGCATATCTTTCTATGTAATTTTTTGTTTGTTTGTTTGTTTGTTTGGGATAGAGTCTTGTGTAGCCCAGACTGGCCTTCAACTCAGTATATAGCTGAGGATTACCTTGAATTTCTGACTCTCCTGCCTCTGCCTTTCAAGTGCTGGGATTACAGGTGCCCTGCACAGTGCCTGGTGTATGCCATGCTGGGTCTTGATCCCAAGGCTTTGTGCATTCTAGACAAGCACTCTACCACCTGAGCCACATTCTCAGCTCCTCTTTGTCTTGTTTTTGTTTTTAGAATAGGGTCTTTATAGCTCAGGGTAGCCTCAAACTCTCTATGTGGCTGAGACTGGCTTTGAACTCCTCATCTTCCTGCTTTCACCTCCCAAGTTCTGGGACTACAGGAGTATGCCTCCATACCTGCCTTCCCTGCATGTTTTAAATCTTTGTGACACTTACAATACCTAGTACATTAGAATGATACATAAATGGTTGCTCAACTCTATTTTTAGAAATTATTCATTTTTATTTTACCTGCATTGGTGTTTTGCCTGTGTGTAGCCTGTCGGGTCCCCTGGAACTGTAGTTACAGACAATTGTGGGTCACTACATGGGTGCTGGGCATTGAACTTGGGTCCTTTGGAAGAGCAGTCAGTGCTCTTAACTGCTGAGCCATCTCTCCAGCCCCATCAGGGAACTATCTGTATGTATTCATACATATGCAACCCGCTCCCTAATGTTTCAGTCTGTGGTTGAAACTACAAATACACAGTCCATATATATGGAAATCTGATTTTCTTTTTTTATTTCAGTCTCTCCTTCCATTCTTTCCCCTCCCCACTCCCCATCTCTCCTTCCCTTTTCTTTTTTGGTTTTTTCGAGACATTTGTTACAATTGATGAGCTTACATTGACACATCAATATTACTTTAATTCACAGTTTATAGGAGATTCCACTCTTGATATTGTACATTTTATGAGTTTTCATAAATTAACTTTTCATTTTATAAAAAAGAAAGGAGGCTGGAGAAATGGTTCAGTGGTTAAGAGTACTGATTGCTCTTTTTTTTTTTTTATAGTTTTTCAAGAAAGGGTTTCTCTGTGTAGCCTTGGATATCCTGGAACTCTATAGACCAGGCTGACCTAGAACTTAGAGAGATCTGCCTGGCTGCCTTCCAATTGCGTACTGGTTGCTCTTACAGAGAACCCAGGTTTAGTTCCCAGCATCCACATGGTGGCTCACATGTGTCTGTAGCTCCAGTTCTAGGAGACTAGATGCCTACTTCTGACCTCTGTGGGTACCAGCATGTACTTGGTATATCGATCGATGTATATATAGAAAAACTGCTCATATACATAAAATAAATCTAAAAAATGTGTTTTAAAAATAAGAAAGAAAATCCCCAAAGTTCAAGTGATTTCTTCCAGCGCTCACAGAAATAATATAATAATTTCCCCACCGTGTGTGTGTGTGTGTGTGTGTGTGTGTGTGTGTGTATGTGTGTATGTATGTGTGTGTAAAACCAAGTATTTGTATGTGGTATGAATTGAAGAAGTTTTAAGGCTTTCTAGGGGAATAATTCCAGCCGTGATTGAACTAATTTGAAGCCAAGGGCCAACAGATGTGTGGTTTAAAGCTGTGGGGATTGCAGATGTTGGGTTGTCAGGTCTGGTGCAGTGTAGTGGACATGCCAGGTCCTCCAAACATGTGGGTTCTCCTCTGACGTCGTGAAGGACTTAACTGTGTGACTCTAGCTGACATATTTACCCTTTGAGTTGTAGGGATGAAAAGGTAACTTTTTTGTCTGTTTTGAGATGTGGTCTCACGTAGTCAGGCTGGCCTTAAACTCCTGGTCCTTTTCCCTCTGCTTCCCAAGTGCTGTGCTGGTTTGACAAGCACGTGCCACCATGCCCGGTGAAATAAGGTAACTTTTGATAGGTTCATAGCATACTGTAGCTAGCACATAAGTGCTCAGAAAACTGTCAGTTCCTTTTTGGCTCAAAGAAACTCTTTTAAAAAAAGACTGTTTTAGGCAATATGTTCTGAAAGCTTTCACAGTGCAAAGTACTTGCTATATTAGGTAACAGCCTTGTTCTTTTTCTTCTCATATGTCTTAATTAAACTCAGCAAGTGCATTAGAAGTTCTGGAATGCCACTGTCAAAGAGTCTCTATGCTTGCAGGCAAGGGCAGCATTTGTCTAGCCTAGTCTTTAACAGGTAAAAATCAAGATCCAGCCTGTCTCAAATTTCAATGTTTTATTCAGTCTTTTATTCATCTCAGTTCTATCTGGTTCTGAGTATCCCCATCATGATTTATTAAGAGGAGGCCATACATTAGGACAACAGTTTCATTTATTGTAGTCTCAATTTTAAAAGCATAAATTAAACTTACATTTGTATGTAGCTGTGCATTTTATTTAAAACATGAACTATCATTATTGGCCCTTATGCCAAAAACTTAATACCTAGGGGCTGGTGAGATGGCTCAAAAGTTAAGAGTACTGACTGTTCTTCCAGAGGTCCTGGAGTTCAGTACCCAGCAACCACATGGTGGCTCATAACCATCTGTAATGAGATCTGATGCTGTCTTCTGGTATGCAGGCAAAATGCAAACAGAACACTGTATATACAATAATTAAATTTAAAAAAATAACCAAGCTAATACCTGTATGATAAGTGTAAAAGCTGAGACAGAGAGGCTGGAGAGATGGCTCAGCAGTTAAGCACACTGGCTGCTCTTGGAGAAGACCTGTGCTTGATTCCCAGCACCCACATCATGTCTCCCAACAGTCTGCAATTCTAGTCTCAGGGACCAAGACCCACTTCTGACTTCCTCAAGCACTGGCACATATGTGGTGCATATACGTGCATCCAGGCAAACACTCTTAAAGAAAAAACCACTATACCTGGCTTTTTTTTAAAAAATTTTTTTACTGTGAACTTTCTAATGCTCCTGAGTCCATCTCCCCCATCCTGGGAATAAGGAAGGTGCTACCACACAAAGTTTCTGTGCTATGCTGGGGATGAAATCCATGAGTTGCCAGGCAAGCATTCTGGCAACTTAGCCACATTCCCCAGTCACCTCTATCAAACCTATGGCCATAGACAACTCAACGAGTGCTTAACAGAATTAAGAACCTCAGCTTCAGCCAGGCAGTGATGGTGTACGCCTTTAATCCCAGCACTTGGAAGACGAGACTGGTGCATTACTGTGAGTTCAAGACCAGCCTGGTCTACAGAGTGAGTCCAGGACAGGATCCAAAGCTACAGAGAAACCCTGTCTTAGGGGGAAAAAGAAAAGAACCTCAGCCTTAGAAGGCTATAGTAGTATTTTCCACCAAGGAAGCCTGACAGATGTAGATTTGGGCTTAGTACATGAAAGAATACTATTGATGTTGGAAAAGATGTGACAACCATGTATATATCAAGCAGAAGCATTGAATTCTTTGAAATATCAAAGATATATCATTTATCAACTTGAGCCAAAAGGGACATTGTCTCTAAATCTTTCTACTTTGAAAAATATTGCTATATTTATATTTTTATTTTTTGTTATAATCCTTCCCTTTACCTAGTGGTTGCTTTCTGTCTTCCTCATGGGAATGTTAGCTTCTTCAAAGCTGACTTTGCTCATCCTTGTATTCATAGCACACCAAGCTTGCTTAGCATTTAACTGGCACCTAGTATATATTTGCTGAGCCTTTGTATAAAATTAAATAATATATTTGTATAAATAGCTGTACAAATTTTTTTCTAAATAGAAAGATCATTGATTTCTTAAGAGTTTTAGGATCAACAAAAGTACATTCCTCTGAGAAATTTGCTTGGTTGAGGCTATGTTGAAGTTTGAGTCCAGGGTATAATCATGGGGAAGGGCATGTTTAGCATGCTTGAGGGCCTGGGTTCAATCTCCTGCACTGCAAAAAAATAAAATTTAAAGTATGTTGGCCGTATACAGCCATCAAAGATGCTGGTGCGGAAGGATGGCTCTGCAGCACTTACCTCTGAGAACACAGGCTCCAGAGCCAGACAATAGGCCCTTGGGTTATCTGGGAGATCCCTTCTTTTACCTCCTGTAGTCGGTGATGCCGTAATTAGGCCTGCATATTACCTCTGAACATAGCCCTACAAGGCCCTTCATTTGCAGCTTATGGAAATTAGATCATGCACAGGAAGCGAGCTCCTTACTTATCAGGCTCCACAGAGGAGTCAGGAGGCATGAGGAGTGGGAAATTAGAGTTCATCTAGAGGGACAGGGTTTGCTGGAAAAACAGATTTTTTCACTCTACACAGGGCCTCTACAAGCTTTCATCTCTCAGAAATAGCTTTGATTTGTACCCACAGCACTCTTTTCCAGTTTCCCTGTTCTTTAAATAAAGCTGCTAAAACTAACAGGGAAAGTTTATATATGCATATACAGTGTGTGTGTGTGTGTGTGTGTGTGTGTGTGTGTGTGCGTGTGCATGTGTGCCCCTGTGTGATATGTAGCCATAGCTGGCCTGGAATTTACTATATATTCAAGACTATACTGTACTCTGTATACTATATAAACATCTCTGTCTCCTAAGTACTAGGGTTACAGGCATTTGCCACCATGTCCAGCTTCAAATTATTGTAATTTTTATTTATTTTTTTATTTTTATTTTTTTTTAATTTATTTATTATGTATACATATTCTGTCTGCGTGTATGTCTGCAGGCCAGAAGAGGGCACCAGACCTCATTACAGATGGTTGTGAGCCACCATGTGGTTGCTGGGAATTGAACTCAGGACCTTTGGAAGAGCAGGCAATGCTCTTAACCACTGAGCCATCTCTCCAGCCCTTATTGTAATTTTTAAAAAATACTGAATTAATTATTACATTTACTTTTTGTGCATTATATGTCTGTGTACCTGCTCATGGGTATATGTGTACATGTCTGTGCATACACATACAGAGGCCAGAGATCAGTGTTGGTTGTCATCCAGAGAGATAGGGTCTTCACTAAGCTGGGGCTCATCCAGTTGGGTAGATTGACTGGTCAGTGAGCCCCGGGGGTACTCCTGTCTCTGCCTCCTAGCTCAGTGTTAGAGGCAGTTTTTATTATTTTTTTTATTTTTTGTTTTTTTTTGAGACCAGGTTTCTCTGTGTAACAGTCCTAGCTGTTCTGGAACTAGCTCTTGTAGACCAGGCTGGCCTCGAACTCACAGGAATTCACGGGCCTCTGCCTCCCAAGTGCTGGGATTAAAGGCGTGCGCCACCACCGCCCGGCCTCAGCTTTTTATGTGGGTGCTTGTGTTCTCACAACAACTGCTTTACTGACTGAGTCATCTCCCCAACACCAACTCTCTCTCTCTCTCTTAAAGACTTAAAGATGATTGCTATGTAGCCCAGGTTAACCTGGAACTTGCTGTGTACACCAGGCTGGCCTAAAACTTTTAGTGATCTTCCTGATTCTGCAGATTCTGCCTTGGTGGTGCTGGGATTATAGACATGAGCCATAATGCCCCCTCTACCTGCCTCTGCCTCCTGAGTGCTGGAATTAAAGGCGTGTTCCACCATTGCCTGGCAATTAAGATAGAGTTTCTTACTATAGCTCTGGCTGACCTCACCCTCACAGAAGTCCCTTGCCTTGGTCTTCTGAATGCTGGGATTTTTGGATGTGAGCTACCATATCTTTTGAGCATTTCTTGACTTGAAGAGAATAGAGCTGCCATATAGCATCATAGTTTGGAACCACAGTGAACTGTTTTGTTTCTACTTTAGGTTTTGTTCAATTTTCCTTCTCTTTCAGCTCTGAGGACTTAGTCCAGCACAGGCCCTACTACTGAGTTCATGGTTCTGTCCTTCAGACTGGTTTTTAGTTTTCCTATTTGATAATAGTTACTGTTAATCAGCCTTCAGCCGCAGGATCGTTACTGCACAGATCACAGTAGACTCATCAGGAGATACAGAGGCAACCAGAAGCTAGGAAGGAAAGGGGTCAGGAAATGGGTGAATTCCTGACTTTGGGCTGTTTTTCAGTCTGTCGGTGAGAAGGTGCTGGAATTCACATAGCCAACATGGTTCTATTGCCAGGTTCAGCATAGCCATGGACACTAGAACTGTGCAACTTAGGAGAAAGTTCTGTGTAAGAAAAGCTCTAAGTTCTGTGGAAGGCTGGTGTTGAGTTCTTGTTGCTCTGGCTGGTCGTGGTTTGTCTCATCATGTTCTTGTGTCTAGGTGTATGTAGTGGCAAACGAGCCTCTCCCAGTATTGCTGGATGCCCTGCTTCCGCTCCTCGGGGTGATCTTTTCTCTCTACTGTTTTACCAGTCAGAGTGTGTCTCACATAAGGTAAGCAAACAGAATTTCTTTGCTTATAATTTGAATCCCATTTGTTTATAAACAGTGAAGTTTAAATTAGGGTGCTATTTTTTTCAAAGGTAGGAAGACGTTTGGGGATTCTCTCACTCATTTTACACAGAAAAGAACAAGGATTTTTACAGGTTAAGGCGAACTGGATGTAGTTTTGGGGGTGATTTTCTGTAGTCTGTTCTATACAGCAGAAGTGAAAGCTGTTTCCATGGGTAAATATGCCATTGTTTGAGCAGTAAGAAATGCTGTATTTACTGTCTCTGGGAAGGAGGAAACAGGTGATGGATTATAATTTCCTGGTGGAGTGCTGGAGAACAAGTCTGAAAAGTCTGCATGTGAATTTAGTATATCATAGTTTAGCCAAATTTGGCATCAAAGATGCAGAGTTTTCATTCTAAAAGGAAGGGCTTATCAGTCTTCCAGAAAACACTTTTATGTGTTACTTTAAAACTGATTCATGCCCGTTGGTGGTGATGCATGCCTTTAATCCCAGCACTTGGGAGGCAGAGGCAGGAGGATCTCTGAGTTTGAGGTCAGCCTGTTCTCTAAGAGCTAGTTCCAGGACAGGTTCCAAAGCTACACAGAAATCCTGTCTCAAAAACCAAAACCAAAACCAACCAACCAACCAACCAACCAAAACTGATTCATTTAGGGGCTGGGGAGATGACTCTGGTGTAGGAGCCATGACTGCTAATGTAGAAGACCCTGCTTCGATTCACAACACCTACATGGTGACTAACAACTGTAACTCCAGTTCCTGGGCATCTGATGCTGTCTTTTGTCCTCCACTGAGCACTGCATGAACATAGTGTACAGATATACATGCAGGCAAAACATTCATACACATAAGATTAAAGAAACAAGTTAATTTTAAAAAAGATTTTTTTTTTTTAATTTTTCGAGACAGGGTTTCTCTGTAGCTTTTGGTTCCTGTCCTGAAAAAGATTTATTTTGTATTACCTGTTTTCAGTTATTTGTGGCATTTCTCTCACATGGTATGAGTTTATAGTTACATCCTTCCTGAAGTCTACAGAATTTTGATTTGGGGCAGGCTGAGGATGTACCTCAGTGGTAAAACACGTGCCTGGAATGCATGAGACCCTTGGATTTGAGCGTTAGCACTACAGAGAAAAAAGAAAAAACAAACAAAACTGATATGCAACAGTAGTACTTCTTTACTGGGTTCCTTGAACAGGATGTATCCTGGAGTCCCTAGCACAGTTCTGGCAAACAGTAAGCTCAATAACTCATAGCAATCATTAGCATGTTTGCTAATAGTGAAGAAAGGTACTCACCCTGTATTTATGACTAAAGGCATATGTAACCATGCCCAGCCTAAAAGTAAAAATCTTTAAAAAAAAACCTCTAGCACTGTTGCAGTCTCATCAAAGACTGACAAGGAGGGTGCCTGTATCAGTCTAGCCCTTTGTACTTAGATATGCTATTTCTTGGTCACCAGCTGTTGATGCCCTGAGAATAATTCTTTTTTAGTGCATGCTTTCATTCATAATGTCTTAGCACAAGTAGAACACACTTGAAGTAAAAATAATAATAATAACACGATGCTCGTGTGGCAACCAGAGCTGCTTCCAGAGCCAGCGGTTAGGCTGTCCCTGGGTGACTTCCAGGGCATTTGTACTCGGAAATGTGAAGGATCCACGCTTTCTTCTCCTGCGTGTCAGCAGCCAGTGACAGGGCAGCATTTGGGTACCCGACAGTCTTTCTTTCTTTTTCCGAATAACTTGTTAGCTGCATGGAGTATGATGACAGGCTCGTTCATTCATAACTGCTTTTTCTGCCAGGTCGCTTTGCCAAGAGATCTTGTTATGGATTCTGGTGAAGCTGGAAAGGAAGAAGGCAATTGCCAGCCTGAAAGGATTCTCGGGGTTGGACAAAGCTGTGCCCTCCCTCCATCCTCAGTGTCAGTTTAGAGCTGCCATGCACGGTGGCGTTGTGATTACCGTCCAAGAGACCGTTAGGTGAGCTCACCCACCCACCCTCTGATGTCAGACCTGATAGAATTTCATATATTTCATTGTTCTGCGAGGCAACCACTAAGGGGCGCTGTTGGAAAGGAAACCAGAAACAGGCAGCCAAGGCACTTGCTATTTATGATCCTTAAAAAACCAGAGCCTTAAATGACCCTCTGGGTGTTATTCCAAGATGCCAGCTAACAGTAGGTGCGGTTTACTGGAGCTTCACAGCTCCACACCACAGCAAGCCCAGCTCCCAGTTACAGCTCACTGCCATTGAGCCAGAGCAAAGGGCAGCTCACGTACCCCCATAACACCAGAGCAATCCAGTTCTGTTTCTGACTCAAAAAGCAATATGGTTTTGTATGCCTTTAGTGATCCTTTTTTTAAGTTAAAAAATTATTTATCCATTTATTTTATATGTATGGTGTTTCGTCTGTATGCATGTCTACATACATGCCTTGTGCAGGAGAGGGTGTCTAATCTCCTGGAACCTGAGTTACAGATGGTTATGAGCCACTGTGTGGATGTTGGGAATCAAACCCAGGACCTCTGGAAGAGCTCTTACCTGCTGAACCATCTCTCTTGCCCGCTCTCCAGCCTTATTCCTAATGGAAATTGTTTGATTACTGAAGTTGGTAATTTTATAATGAGGTTTGATTTTCATAAGAATGGATTGGAAAGTACTTACTAGGCTGGGCAGTGGTGCCGCAAGCCTTTAATCCTAGCATTCTGGAGGCAGAGATAGGATCTGAGTTCAAGGTCAGCCTGATCTATAGAGCTAATTCCAGGACAGCCAAAACCACACAGAGAAACCCTGTCTGGAAAAACAAAACAAACAAACAACCAAACAAAAAGTACTTAATACATCCTAGTAGAGTGGATAGTTTGTTTCTACAATATCTCCTAGTATTTTATTTTCGTGGTGCTGGAGATTGACATGCATCCAAGGCAACTGAGCTGTGCTCCCAGCCCTGCAAGTCTGTACTTTACATTGTTCCCTCTTGTGATGATCTGTGGAGGAGGATGCTGCTTTCTCAACCCAAGCTTCTGTTGCCTGGAGATGTGTAGTATGTCACTGGCCCAGCCGCTCCCTTCTGGTCACGTGCAAAGTGTGGCTCTTTGTAGAAGTGCTTAAATTTAACTTTATATTCATGATTAGCTCGCCGAAAATGTAAAACATATACTGAATATGATAAACAAGGAAAATAGAAAAAACATAATATTAAAGTAGAATTATCAGACTGATGGAACCTTCCTGAGAACCATTAAATATTAGCAGGTCTATTAACTGAGCCCATTGAATATGAGTTTAAAAGTATTTGGCATGTTTAATTAGTACATGTATATATGAAAACCCAGTTCTCATTGAAACTATTATTTTACTTCCTGATGAGAATATAGTTAGTAACCAGTGATTAAATGAATATGTACTGCCAGAAGCAACCACTCCTTAAAATCTGGGTGTCTGTTCCAGTTAGGGGTACAGCCCTTTTGGCATTGTAGCACACACACCAAAAAAAAAAAAAAAAAAAAAGTTACATGAACACCTGGGTTTAAAAAAGAAAAATGCCCATTGACACTAAGATTGAAAACAGTGTGTGTATGTGTGTGCATGTATGTATATATGTGTGTGTGTGTGTGTGTGTATTGTGTGTGTGTGTGTTGGCAGGGCAGGCAACTTGATCTGTTTCACTTTCTCTCTGCCATTAGCCTAGCAGAAGTTTCCAATAAGAAGTTGTTTTAAAGAAATTTTAGCTGTGTGGTGGTGGCACACGCCTTTAATCCCAGCACTTGGGAGGCAGAGGTAGGGGGATCTCTGTTAGTTCGAGGCCAGCCTGGTCTATGGAGTTAGTTCCAGGCCTGGACTACATAATGAGACTCTGTTTCTGTTTTTTGTTTGTTTGTTTTTTGTCTTGTTTTCCAAGACAGGGTTTCTCTGTAGCTTTGGAGCCTGTCCTGAAGCTTACTCTGTAGACCAGGCTGGCCTCTAACTCACAGAGATCTGCCTGCCCCTGTTTCCCGAGTGCTAGGATTAATGACTGAAACCCTGGGCATCATGGTGCACACCTTTAATCCCAGCACTTGGGAGGCAGAGGTAGGCAAATTTCTGTGAGTTCAAGGCCAACCTTGTCTACAGAAAGAGTTCCAGGACAGGTAGGACTGTTACACAGAGAAACCCTGTCACAAAAAACAAACAAACAAACAAAACCCCAAAAGATAAACAGACAAAAACAAAAAACCCAACTCTATATGAGCATTTATATATGACTTTGGAGCTAGATTTTTACTTTGTTTGTTTGTTTTTCTTAATTTATTTATTTTTATGTATATGAGAGTTCTACCTACATATACACTTTTATGCCAAAAGAGGGCCTCAGACCCCACTAGAGATAGTGGTGAGGCACCATTTGGTTGCTGGGAATTGAACTCACTGGAAGAGCAGTCAGTGCTCTTAACTCCTGAGTCATCTCTCCAACCCTGTTTGTTTTTGAGATAGGCTTTTTCTGTGTAGCCCTGGCTGTCCTGGAACTCACTTTGTGGACCAGGCTGGTCTTGAACTTACAGAGAACCACCTGCTTCTGCCTCCTGACTGCCGGGATTAAAGGCGTGCGCCACCACCACTGGGCTTATACTTTTTTATTGTTGTGTTCGTTCACTTATTATAGCTTAGACTAGTCTTGAACTTACATGTAGCCCAGGCTGGCCTCAAACTTGAAACAATCATCCTGTATCATCCCAAGTGTTGGAATTATAGGGATGAGCCACCACACCAGCTTTCTTTCTTTCTTTTTTTTTTTGTTTTGTTTAGACACATGTGACATTTTTTGTTTTAAATTTTCAATGTTCATCCTGAAAGCCACTTCCCTCAGGAAGTGGTACTAAAGCACTACAAAGTGTTGTACCTCTGCTTCTAATTAATACTTTGCATTCTTCAGCATGGAGGTACAGGAAAATATTTTCAGGGTCTACCTAACGAAGATCTACATGGAAATAGTGCTGTTTTACAAGGTTACTGTGAGGTTCTAGGCTTCTGAAGACTCAGTAGGTAGAGCACTTGTGCTCAGGCCTGAACCTGAGTTGATTCCTGGATCCCATAAGGTATCAGGAAAGAACTGAGTTCTGGGAATTGTCCTCTCACTTCCACGTGCAACTTTATGCCAAGACACATGTGCCCCTCTAGTCACACATGTGTCCCTGTAGTCACACATGTGCCCCTGTAGTCAGTCACACATGTGCCCCGGTAGTCACACATGTGTCCCTGTAGTCACACATGTGCCCCTGTAGTCACACATGTGCCCCTCTAGTTACACATGTGCCCCTGTAGTCACACATGTGCCCCTCTAGTCACACATGTGTCCCTGTAGTCACACATGTGCCCCTGTAGTCACACATGTGTCCCTGTAGTCACACATGTGCCCTGGTAGTCACACATGTGTCCCTGTAGTCACACATGTGCCCCTGTAGTCACACATGTGTCCCTGTAGTCACACATGTGCCCTGGTAGTCAGTCACACATGTGCTCCTGTAGTCACACATGTGTCCCTGTAGTCACACATGTGCCCCTGTAGTCAGTCACACATGTGCTGCTGTAGTCACACATGTGTCCCTGTAGTCACACATGTGCCCCTGTAGTCAGTCACACATGTGCTGCTGTAGTCACACATGTGTCCCTGTAGTCACACATGTGCCCCTGTAGTCACACATGTGCCCCTGTAGTCACACATGTGTCCCTGTAGTCACACATGTGTCCCTGTAGTCACACATGTGCCCCTGTAGTCACACATGTGCCCCTGTAGTCAGTCACACATGTGCCCCTGTAGTCACACATGTGCCCCTGTAGTCACACATGTGTCCCTGTAGTCACACATGTGCCCCTGTAGTCACACATGTACCCCTGTAGTCAGTCACACATGTGCCCCTGTAGTCACACATGTGCCCCTGTAGTCAGTCACACATGTGCCCCTGTAGTCACACATGTGCCCCTGTAGTCACACATGTGCCCCGGTAGTCACACATGTGCCCCTGTAGTCACACATGTGCCCCTGTAGTCACACATGTGCCCTGGTAGTCACACATGTGCCCCTGTAGTCAGTCACACATGTGCCCCTGTAGTCACACATGTGCCCTGGTAGTCACACATGTGCGCCTGTACACACAAAAGAAAACAGACCTTTAAGAAAGAAAATGATGTTGGTTTTGAGAGAAAGTGCTATGTTTGGTGACATTGATGTGAAACACTCTTACCCGGTGTTGCAGTAATGACGAAGATGAAGCCCTGTACCAGAAGGTGTCTTCGGAGCAGAGCCAGATTGAACATCTTGGGGACTTGCTGTCCCACTGCCAACAGTGTGGTTTGGCAGGAGACTTCTTCATCTTTTGTTTGAAGGTAGGCGCTCACAGTCACATCTCTTCTTCATTCTGGGACAGCTGCAGTAAAGCCTTTGACTTTTTAAGGCATTCATACTTTTAGGTCCTAAAATTTAGCTTCCAGTTTAGGGCAAATGAACAGAAGACAAAGAGTAATTCAGTTTCTGATAGCTTTGGAGTTGTCAAGAGGACACATCAGTGGGACCGATGTGCTCTGTCTCCTTCGCTGGGTGGTTTGCACTGAGAGGTTAGACATGAACAAAGCAGCCTTGTTGATCTAGGAAAGAGTTAAGCTTTGCTCCGTGTTGACAGTAAGAACCCTTTTGAAGTTAATAGCAGGTTTTAGAGCCGCAGAGTAATCCCTTATCCTTTCTGACTGTTGTGCTGTCAGGTATTTGGAAAGGAGACAGCCGCTCTGCCTCCCTCATTTCACTCTGTAGCCACTTGAAACCTTTTCCGTTTCTTGCCGAGTGCCTGTTGTGTTTCCTTTGGCCCTAATCTCTAGATGTACCCCATAACATTAGCCCTGCCTGATGTCTGCTGGAGACCGCCAGCTTTGCTTTTCCCACTTTCTCAAGCTGTCTGGGAATGCGAAGCTGATGTTTCTAGAACCTGCAATAGGGCTGTTTCTTTTCTGTGCTCTCTCATCTCCATGTTCACGCTCCCCTCCATCTCAGCCATGTGTTCTACTTTCTAAGCAGAGGTTCTCTTATTTGTGTGCTTTGTTTCCAGCTGTCCTTTGGTTCAGAACACTGGCAGCTCTTCCAGAGGACCTGGGTTAAATTCCCAGCACCCACAGGGTGGCCTACAGCCCTCTGGAATCCAGTGCCTTCTTACCTCTGTAGGTACCAGACACACACACAGAGTATACATTCATACATTCAGGCAAAACACTCTTACACATAAAAGAAAAAAAATAAATGAATTTTTTTTTTCTTTGTAATGGTCCAAACCAGCCAGGTGTGGTCGTACATATCTGTAATAGCAGCAGTCTGGAATCAGAGGTACAAAGAGGATTTTGAATTTCAGGCCAGCACAGGTTGCATAATGAGACTGTTTCCAAAAACAAAACAAAACAAAAAACTATCACTACTACCAAATCAAAATACTTTATTCTAAACCTCAGTTTGATATTTTGTTTGTTTGTTTTTTGAAGGGTCTCATGGCCTCAAACTGTCTAGCCAATGATGATCTTGAACTTCTGATCTTGTCTCTACTTCCTGAGTGCTAGGATTACAGGCCTGTTTTATATAGTTCTAGGAATGGAACCTAGAGATTTGTGCGTGCTAGGCAAGTATTCTGCCAGCTAAACTATATCCAGCTAACACAAGCCTCTTAAACTGTAGGTCATGACCCCAGGTGAGGTCACATAAGTGAATGTGGGTGGGGTGGGGGGATTTCAAAACATTTGTCAACAGCAAAAGGTTTTTGACCATAAAATAACCAAAACTTAATTCAAAATCTGGTGGGGCATGAGCTCAGGCATTTCTGACAACTCTTGCAGCACACAGTGTCACTGAGGCTGTTGTTCAGAACACAGACCACATGCCCTTTGCACAGTGCAGAACATTGTGTCAGCACTCAGTGCCAACAAGCACAGCCTAAGACAGCGCTACTCAGGTTCGAGGTCGCTATGTATTATCAATTACAGCACTTGCTGCTTTTATATAAACAATGGCTTAACTGTGGAAAACAAAGACTTTTAATATTTTTCCAATGCCCATTCCTCAGCAGGTAAATATTAAATTAGTTTCTCTTTTAATTTCATTGTGTTAGGATTTTTTTATTTTAAAAATTGTTGATTGTCTGGTGGTGGTGGCACATGCCTTTAATCCCAGGATCTCTGTGAGTTCGAGGCCAGTGTGGTCTACAGAGCAAGTTCCAGGATAGTCTCCATAGCTACAGAGAAACCCTGTCTCGAAAAACCTAAAAAAGAAAATAATAGTAATAAGAAATTGTTGGTTTGGGGGGCTGGAGAGAGCCTCAGGTGCTGAGTGCTTGCTACTCTTCCAGAGGGCTTGAGTTTGGATCTCAGCACCCACGTCAGGCTCTCCCACTGCTCAAGTGCTACAAGATCTAATGCCACCTTTGGTAGGTGTCTGCACTAACCCGAACAAACCCATACACAGACACATACATAATCATTAAATGAATTTTGGCCTTGGATTAGGTCAGAATTTTAAATAAATTCTGAAATGGCCCTCAACTAATTTTTCCAATTTTGTATTAAGTATTTAAGCAAACTTGAGTTTGCTGTATTGATGCTTACAAAATCAAAATGTCAATCTACTCTGAGAAACATTGAAGATACTGTGCATCTTGCCATATCAAATATTTAAGATTGAATTCTTCATGTAAAATTAATCAAGCAAACCCATCTTATTAGTATGAAAATTGGTTCATCTTTAATAAATGGTAAAAACAGATGTATGACAAAGAATTGTTTTAAAGTAAATTTCTAAATTTCTTTATAATTTGTTACCACTGTATGCTTGACTAGTATACATATTCTACACACAACCACACATGGAATTGTAGTAAATCCCTCAGGGAAAAGAGGCTGTGAGTGGAAATGTTTGGGAAACCCTGCTTGGAACCAGGGAACCTTCACCTTGTCAAAACTGACACTTGGTCTAGATAAATGTGTTATTTGGTGTGGTTGTCTTGTTCTTTGTAGGATTCTTAGCAGTATCTGTGACCTCTATCCACTAAATGCCTGCATTAACCCCTAATTATGACAACCAAAAATGTCCTGGAGACATTTCAAAATGTCCCCCAGGGAGGGAAATTACCCGGGCGCAGTTGAACACTGTTCCTCTCAGCTGTCAGCTACTCCAGTGAGCACTAATTGTTAAGGAACTTAAAGTTTTCACTTTCTATGGGAATTCACAGTGGAGAAGGGCAGTCGAAAGCTTACCAAATCCACAGTAATGAATTCCCTGTGAACAGACGTTTATTTCTGGCTTATCTTAAAGGAAAGCCAGAAATGGTCTTTGAAAGGACTTTGGCTAAGTTATATCATCTGAGGACTTAGTTCATGGAAGGCTAGTGATAGAAATCATGAAAATATTATAAAAAGTTTACCAAATAAGTTCTTTTTTGTTCTTTTTTTACACTTATTTATTTGTGTATGTTTTTGGATGTGTATGTATGTTGGCGTGTGTGAGTCACTGTGTGGACGCCAAAGGACACCTTTCATGAATTGATTTTTTTCATTAAACCGGTGCTCTGTATTTGTGTGTGTGCGTGAAGTTCATATACACGGTATCACAAAATGCATATTACTTTACACCTTATGTTTTCTTTGTTTTCTTTTTCTCAATACTGGGATTTGAACCCAGTGCTTATATATATTAGACAAGAACAACTCTGTCATGAAGTTATACCCCTGGTTCTTTTTATTTTTTAGTTTTGAAGGTCTCACTGAGTTGTCCAGGGTGGTCTTGGACCCCTCTGTAGCCTTGATGGCCTTAAACCTGCAATCCTTTTCCCTCAGCCTCCCCAGTGGCGGAGACCACAGGCATGTGTAACAAATGCAGATTGCTTCCTTGGCTGTGAATCCCTCCATGTTTGCCAAGTCCTTAGCGCCAGTGGCTTTTCTGTCACTCTTTCTTTCATCCCCTGCTTCTAGGAGTTGTCTCATCTGGTAGTGGAAAATGAAGCAGAGTTCAAACCCACGCTCTCCTGTTATACAAGCCTGCTGGAACTGGAGCAACACCAGGCTCTGCTTATAGAAGAGCAGGAGCGAAAGCTGCTGGTGCTGCAGTTGCTGGCTGTCCTGTGCGAGAGGATGTCTGAGCAGATATTCACGCACATATCTCAGGTTAGTAGCCGTCACTTTCTGGGTCCAACCTGCTGTTATTTTGGTTTCTTTGCATTTTTTCAAAAAATAAATGTTGCTTAGCCAGGCATGGTGGTGCACACCTTTAATCCCAGCACTCAGAGGCAGAGGCAGGTAAAACTCGAGGCCAGTATTGTCTACAGAGTGAGTTCCAGGCCAGCCAGGGCTAAGTGCTGAGACCCTGTCTCAAAAACAGTTGTTTAGATTGGAACTTGGTGGCACCCCGTCCACGTTTCTTGGAGTTCTGGCTAAACATGAAGGCTATTAATTAAAATTAAGCTCACACTTGTCCAGCTGAAGCTGAGTCTTTCGTACTATACTCTGTGCCTGACAAGCTCCTGATGTGAGTCTCACATACACGAAACTTCTAGAACTGCTTTACATATTTTTCTACTGTAGTGATAGTCAACTTTGAGTGCAAATAAAATCACCTAGCCTTTATAAAATAGACTGCTACCTGGTTCCTTTCTAGAGGTTTTGGATTTAATATGCCCGAGTGGGAGCCTGAAAGTCTTAATTTTTTTAAGGTTTCACATGGGCCAAAGGTTGTAAATGAAGGGCTGGAGTGATGGCTCAGAGCAGTGTTTCTTGACCGTCCTAATGCTACAGCCCTGTAATACAGTTCCTCATATTGTGGTGACCCCCAACCAAAGAATTACATTTGTTGCTACTTCATAACTCTAATTTTGCTACTATTACTAATTGAAATATAAATATCTGTGTTTTCTGATGGCCCTAGGTGACCCCTTGAAAAGGTTGGTTGACCCTCCCCTCCAAGGGGTTGGGGCCCACGTGTTGAGAACCACTGGTTTAGAGGGTGAGAGCACTTACAGTACAAACATAGAACTTGTATCTGGATACCCATTACCCATGTAAAAAGCTGGGTATGATCATACATGTGCCTGTGACCCCAGCTCTGTTCAGGGAAGAGACTACCAGCATAGGTTCAGGCTCAGCGAGAGACTCTATATCAAATGAATAGGGTAGAGAGGGAGAGAATAGGACACCTGACACCTTCCCCTGGATCCCTCATACACTTAGGCATGTGTACTTACACACATGTGTGAATATGCCACACACAAGTAGACAATGATTGGAATTCAAATTTGGAAAAAAAAAAAGTATTAGTCTTGGTGTGGTGGCACACACCTTTAACCCAGCACTCTGGAGGCAGAGGCTGGTGGCTCTCTGAGTTCAAGGTCAGCCTGGTCCACAGAGCAAGTTCAGTCAGGAACAGACAGGACTGCACAGAGAAACTCTGTATCAAAAAAAAAAAACAAAAACAAAAACAAAAACAAAAAACACAAAAAAACCAATCAACTAACTAAATAAACAAAAAAAAAATGTTAGTAAGATCACTTTAAATTTTATACATACTCAGATTCACAGTTCATCTCCACAGTGTCCTGTGCAGTTTTAAGATATTCTCAAAACAATGGTTTCAGGGTAGTGTTCCTGTGTGGGCCAGTTCCTGAATGTTGACTTTGACATTTTTTTAAAAATAGGACATAAAGTAATAATGCATAGGCAATGCAGGGACCGTATTTACCACTTACCATAATTAGCTGTGCCTGGCTGGGGAAGAGTCCTTTGTAAGATGGTGTGATTGTCACACTTAATCTGATCCTCCAGCTCTTTGTATGGTTGTCATTGTCATCTGCTGTCCGTGTTGCTAAGCAGCATTTCGCTGGAGCTCCTGCTGAGAACGTTAGCTGCTGCCTGTCAGCTCTGACTGAGCTTGCCTGTTTAATGGGAATTATGTTCCTGATTTCTGTCCAAGCCCTTCACTCCTTAGTTCACTGACCCTGTGTTACTTGGCATGGCGATTTGTTCCTCTTGTGTTTATCTGGTTTCTGAAGACTTCCTCTTCCAGGTCTGTTTCTGTCTTAGGGTGCTGGGTGGAAGGGGGAGTGGTCTAAAAGCTGATGGACTGAGCTTCTGCACTAGCCTCCTTCCTTCCCAATTAAGGAGCGATAGTGTTGGGCTGGTGTGGCAGGTGAGGTGGCCATTAACTCACTCTTCGCACAGGTTAGTTCAAATGTTCCAGAACAAAAAGTACCAAACTGTCCTTTGTAATTTCACTGCTAGTAAAAATATTAGATGTTATTTTGAAGCACACACATGCCCACACTCACATGCGTGCACACACAAAGAAAATATATTATAAATTGTTTAGTTGATATGGTTAGGATGAAGATTTTTTATATAAGAAAAGCATATAAAAACCAAAGAGCTATCATAAAAGCCCTATACTCTTGAATTGGAAAATTCAAGTTGGAAATCTTAGTGTAAATGCATGATTAATGTTTTTCTTTTTAGATAATGGATATTTTTCTAGTGTCCACTCTCAGTGCCGGGAACAATGGCAGTCAGCAGCAGTAGTGCCCTAGCTCCAGAGTGGAGTCTATAAATACCGTTTTCTACTCAAAGTGTTCAGAGCTCTCTGGGATAAAGGTTGATTTGAAGTCTAGGGCGAAGATTGTACATTAGAAGCTTCAAGGCAGTTTCATGAGCCCAGGCACAAGGACGCTATCTGAATTTAATGGGGTTGTGGCAGTAGCAGCCAGGAGCCACCTTTAAAGGACTCTTGTTGCAACACACAGCACAACTACAGCATTCAGAGGAACAATGGCTTCAGTAGACACATCAAAGACAGAAAATGATTTTAAAAACCTCCCAGGATTCTTTAGAGATTGTTAGGGCATTTGGTCTGTATTTTATAAATTGATAATCAAAGGGAATGGAGAAAGCATTTGTCTTGCCTTTCCTGTAACAATTAGGTTCCAGCTCAGTCAGATAAGCAACAAAGGGATGTTTTTCTCCTTAGGGAAATCACAGGGCCGGCGGTGTGGATTAGACAGTAGTAGGCTGCTTGCCCTGTAGGAAGATCACAGCCAAAACTATTAAAAAAGAACTAGAGAATTACATTTTGGAAACCTTTATGAAATAGATTTAGTTAACGATCACCATTGTTTGCCAAAATGGTTAGAAAGGCTGTGGATAGAAACTTTATGTGTTAGTCCCAGAATACCAGGGAAACTGTTTCCCCCATATTATATAATGTTCAAGTTTGAAATATTTTTCAGTAATTCTATTTATTTTTGTTTTTTAAGCAATTTATTTTTATTTTTAAGTGTGTGTGCACACACATTATGTCCTCGTGTGTACTTATGTATGTTACCTGAGCACAGGTGACTGCAGAAGACAGGAGTTAGTTTCCCTGGATCTGGAGTTACAGGCAGTTGTGAGTCAGCTGCCATGAACACTGGAAACTGACATGGGGCCTGGAAGATGAGCGGGTGCTCTTTACCACTGAGCCATCTCTCCAGCCCCTTGGCAGATTGTTGTTGTATTGATTGATTGATTGATATTTTGTCTTTCTGAAACAGGGTTTCTCTGTATAGCCATGTCTGTCTTGGAACTAGCTCTGTAGATTAGGCTGGCCTCTAATTCATAGAGATTCACCTGCCTCTGCCTCCTAAGTGCTGGGATTAAAGGTGTTTGCCATCACCACTTGGTTTGGTTTCTGAGATAGTGTCTCACTATGTAGCCTTGGATGACCTGGAACTTGCTGTGTAGACCAGGCTTGCCTAGAACTCACAAAGATCCTCCTGCCTCTGCCTCTCCATTGCTGGGATTACATTTGTGTACCAGCACACCTGACTGTGTGTGTGTGTAAAACATTAATTATACATATTACTGAAAAATATTTATTTATTGAAAGAATTTTGTAGTGAATACCTTGTACCCACTTTCTATATAGATGTTGCCATCAGAATTTTATTATACTTCATCGCATCTTTACTCATGATTTTATTTCCTGCATCTCATTTTTCATGTACCTTTCAGGGTTAATGCAGATAGCGGTACATAGGGACTGTGCTAAATATTTTGGCATGGACAGATTGTTCTTATGTCACCATTGAAGAACAGATGTGTTGTGTGCCCCCATATGCCAGATCCAAAATGTGAACATCTACAGTGCATGTGTTTCTGTTTCTTCATCAAATAAATGGCATTAAAAATAAGAAAAAAAAAGAATCAAGCTGGGTATGGTAGTGCACGCCTTTAATCCCAGCACTCATTAGGCAGAGGTAGGCAGATCTCTGTGAGTTCAAGGCCTGCTTGATTTACTAGTGAATTCCAGGACAGCCAGAGTTTTGTAGCGAACCTGACTGAAAAAAAAAAAACCTAAGTAAATAAACAAACAAATAAGGAACCAGTACTGGGTTTAGGTAAATGACTGGAAGAGTGGAGAGATGGGTCAGTCAGTGAAGTGCTTACCATGCAAGCATCATGTTTGAGTTTGGATTCCCAACATCCATTTAAGAAGCTGGCTTGGAAGAGAACATCTGTAACCCCAACACTTGTGAGGTTGGGGGAGGGTGGTGAAGATAAGCAGATCTCTGGCCAGCCAGTCTTCCAGCTGAGATACCCTAATCTCATAAAGTCAAAAGCAATAGAGGAAAATACCTAAAGTCCTTCTCTGCCCTTAGCCTGTATGCAGACAGATACACACATAAATTTTAAAAAATATAGGCAAATTGTGGCTAGGCATGATGGCATACACCTTTAATGACAACATTCAGGAGGAAAGGGCAGGTGTATCTCTGAGTTTGAGGCCATCCTGGCATACATAGAGAATTAGAGTGTTACAAGCGAGTCAGGGCTATATAGTGAGATGTGTCCCAAAAAGAAAGGAATTACATGAGATATTTTTGTAACAGTTGTGGACCAGGCACTAGGAGATATTAAAGAATTGGGTATAATAGCGTGGTAGTAATGTCAAAACCAAATCTCCTTACCTGTTACAAATGCATACTGAAGTACCTATTAACAAAAAAGTAAGTATTCAGTAGAATGTATTGAAATGGCATATTATCTGTGTTATGGTAATAGAGAAACGAGGCATGCAATGGGTCTGTCTACAAATGGGGTTCTCCACCAACTCTCAGATTCTTTCATTCTGTGACCACATATTG